ATACTTCATTCCTTAAGATGATTTTTGATTTCGTTCAAAATGATGTCTTAACTATTGTAAACTGTTCTGTCAACAGGTGCTTTTCCAGATGCTTTTAAAACTGCCCTGGTGAAGCCCCTACTGAAAAAGAGTAGCACAGATCTGTTCATACTAAATAATTTTAGACCAATTTCTAATCTTCTTTTTTTTCCTGAAGTAAAGTCTTAGAAAAAGTTACTTTAACACTTAAATGCATATATAATATCAAACAAGTTATATAAGAAGTTTCAATCAGGTTTTCGTTCTAACTGTAGTACAGAGACAGCAATGGTTCATGTTGTGAATGACCTCAGGCTCAGCTCTGATGCTAAAAATCCTTTTTATTATGGTCTTACTGTTGATCACAAGATTCTAATACACCACTGTGAATATTGGGGAGACCTCTCAGGCTCTGTTTTAGAATAGTTTAAATCATATTTAATGCATGGACAAGTCTTGGTTTCACAGGGATATCATTCATCAAAGGGACTTTCTGTGGAGTCCCACAGGGTTCAGTTTCAGGGCCCTTGCTATTCTCTTTTTACATGTTACTTCTAGGTGATGTCATTAGTTTGACAATTTGAAAACAAATCTCTAACTTAGCGTTCAATTAAAAGCATCTTTGGTATTTCTTTTTTAACTTGATCTGTCATTGTCTTGTCTTTTACTGTAAAACACTGTCACCTGTCTAAAGGACTTTGAGCTGCCAGTGGTATGAAAAATACTCTATAAATAATAATAATAATAATAATAATAATAGTAATAATAATAAGTCATTATTCCAAGTAAAATTAAAGAGCATCCTGTGTCATTATCTATGTATAAGTAGGATTTTAGCTTTTTTCATGCTTAAGTTTTTATGGGTGTGACATTTGGTACATGTTGTGTTATTTGTTCATTTTTCATCATATTGTTAAGCTTTGGTTGCTGCCTTCAAATTTCATTTCAGGATAAATGAACATGTATGTGAAGCTCTGCGTATGCATGTTTTTACTGTAAGCACATGTACCTCAGTGTATGTGTTCACTATTCAACATACAAGACCTGTACTACACTTGCTTATGATAACTGATGTAATGTATTATGGATGTGGGTCAATCTCATACTGTTATATTGTTTGAATTGTGACAGAACCTGCAGGCCTTTGTATGATTGCTGTGTTTGACCAGATTTGCTGTTTTGAATGGATTCATCTTGTGAAGAGTGAGTTGGCCAGTGTCAGAGTGCAAATAAGAGAATATGTCTGACAAATTGTACTGTATCGCTATGTAGAATATATCAAGATGTCAATGTTAGTGCATGTAGCAAACTACATGCGTCTGTAGGTGCCTGTGCATGAGATCACTACACCCATAAAACCGTACTGTACTTTTTTAAAACACACTTTACGACACAACAGTTTTATAATGTGAGGCTGTGCATGTCTCATGATGTGCAAATCTGGACGCGTCCCAAAGAGACTCCTCAGAAAGCCAGATTCTAATTCAAAATGCTGCGTAACACAGAATGAAGTGTGAGAAAGCCACACTGGCTGCTGTCATAGTGCACATGATGTATACCTCCACAGTCTGAGAAGAAGGTCCCGCAGATTTGTCCAGCGTTGTGTCTTCTGATGAGGAGCAAGATGGATCTATATCTCCACTGACTTTCTCAGTTTGAGAAATGAGGTCTTCCTCACTCAGTTCTCTCTCTGCAAGACATTTCCATTTCATTTGTAGTTTCAAATTATGTTTGTATACTATATGTAGCCAACCTTACAAAAGCCCCTCACATACCCTCAGGCGCTGTTGTATCTGTTGCAACACTCTGAGCTTGGCCTCCTGTTGACCTGGGCTGGACTGAACTCCTCTTTGCCAGCTTGGTTTCCGCTGAAATCCACTTTCTCTTCAACTTCTGTCTTTTTAAGTAGGACAGATGACCTTTGGCTTGAGCTCCAGCAGACAGTCGACAGAAAAGTTGGCTAATTTGGTCGACTGTTCCTTTTGTCAGCCTTTCCAAGGCGGTCGTGACCCTCAGCTGAAAATAAAGACAAATTACTATGAGGCTGTAGATAGCTTCCTATACGCCAGCTGCTTGTACGAATTTTCCCGTTCCACTTTAAATGGGACATCCTCAGGCACCAGAACGTAACTGCTGCACTATTTAAGGTGGACCGGGAAAACTTCGTCCAATTAGGCTAGTTTGCTAGTCAGACCGCTGTGAATTTTAAACTACGCTATCGAAGATACTTTTTGAATGCTCAGGACACAAATGAAGCTCAGATACTCACCAGTTTGGCGCTGAAAGGCCTGTCGTCGCCTGGTGGTCGCGCTCCGTTGACATATTTCAAAACAGAAACGTCGTCAAGTTCACAAATTTCATTAACTATGTCCTTAACCAACGAGTCCAAGAGTGAATGTAGCTGTTTCTGTAAGAAACAAGAGCGCAGCATTCTTCTGCTACGAAATATCACCAGTATATTTCGGGAAATTACTAATTTAGTTGAGTCAAAAAGTCATAAAACTGTTTTTTCACTGTTTAGTTGTCCACCGTGTTGCCTCCTCCCAAGCAACGTTCACTTCCAGCCTGCAGCGCGTAGCGAATCAACTTCAAAATAAAAGTCCACAATCAGAAATATTCACAAAATCACAAGAAGTGGGGCCGGTCCCTATATCTAGTTCAACTCAAGCCCTGTTTTTCACGCAATTCTTATTCGAAACATAAATGTGTGTATTTTATTCTGTTTTTAATATGTAATGATGAACATGAAATCGTTTATTTCAACAAACAAGAATGCAACAAGCAGCCATGCGTCTAACTTGACAAGCTGTTACAACCTTATGCCAGCTTATGACAATTAGTAGTTTTGAAATAAAAATGGATACCAACTCCATAATCTGCCAAAATGCTATCAAATGACAAGGTTCATGGGAGATATTCCTTAAGCTGTATGAGGAATCCGGGGTTTGGCCTGATCGACGGCCTGGCTGATTTGACTGTGTTAAAGGCCTCTTCGAATGGCATCTTCTGTCGTGCCATCAGGTAACCAATGGCAATGGAGGCAGAGCGGGACACGCCAGCATTACAATGGATCAGCACCACACCGTCCTAATAAGGAGACAACAAAAAAGTGGAATAAATCCAGTGTGTGTGTAGTGTTTGTATATGTGGATATGTGTAACATGAGTATAATTGAAGCATGCGAGTCATTTGTGTGAGAACACACACACACACACACCTGTTCTCTGGCTTGATCTATGAACTCAAAGCACTGTGGGAAGTAAGAGGTGAGCTGTGTCTCTGGGAGATCCAGCATGGTGACAGTCTTACAGGTGAAGAGCTCAGGGAAGGCATTGTCTACTCCATAGGCAACGTTCAGCACATGAGTGACCTGCAAACAAGCAGAGTGGAATAAAATAACCTCATTTTAAAAGAGGATTCTTCTATTATTGCGATGTCAAGCTTATAACGATAGCAAAATCCAACTTTTGCTGCTATATAGAACCATTTTCAAATAGGGTTCTTTAAAGAACCATATGCAACATATTTTCCATCAATCTGGAGAACTAACGTATTTCACCAGGCAAAGAACCACATAAGCATGGAATACTTCTGTATAGCACTCACGGTTCTAAACGGAACCGTTCTCTTTACTGTCTTTTTTTAAGTGTGTACCTTGAATCTCCGCAAAGTCTCAATGTCACTGGCCGCATCTTGTGAGGCTGGTAGGAAATAAGAGTCAGCAGAGTAAGTAAGCGTGTCCCACAAGGCCACTGTGCTATATTAGGAAATATTCTGTGGTCTTTATACAAATCTAGATCTTACAGAGTAACAGAAATGGTGTTATGACTCCCACTTGCAGGTCTAGACTCAGATCCTGAACGAACCCACAGTCCTCCTGTCCGGCCTCAGTCACTTCAACGTCGTCTCCACTGCGCCTTTCCAACAACACCTTCCCGGTCACCGTGGTCACTCTGGTGCTCTGCTTCTTCAGACGCGCTTTGGAGAAACCGCAGATTTCTTGCCCAATGGACTTCATGACGGACTGATTCTCATATTCTTCTGTTTACAGTTCCCTCCATGTCCAGGCCCGCAGCTGGGAACTGTTACAGAAGAATCTGGAAACCACACCGGACCGTTAACGTTGGAACGCCATTAATGACAAAATAGAAGTCCTGAAGTAACAACAGCTACTATGGGTTTTACGGTGTTGAAGCGTTCATCTCTGGTTTCCACTTGGGTATAAATATTGCTTTCGCATTGTTGTTGGCTTCAAGAAGCATATTTCCTTTAATCAGGTGTGGGCAGTATTTGTGGTAGTGTTTGAATTACAAAATAAAAATCTATAGTTTTGTTTGATTTTTATTTTGTAATTTTGATTGGTGTGTAACGTTAGTTTGTGTCAAAATAGTTTTGCATTTATCGATAATGCTTTCCCTTAAATGGTGAAATCACAATAAAGCCGGATGATTTTGGCACGTGATCATAGACCCCCTTTCTATACGATGGCTGTCGTTAAGGCTGAATATTTATTAATTTTTATATGATCTGTAGTATTCCTTATTATCCTTATGTCAGACTTTGTACTAGAAACTACATGCTAGTTACAAGTGATATCTGTTTATCTTCCATTGTTTATAGTTTATCTTTGGTGTTAAACTCTTGCCCGCAGCTCCACAGACTTCATCTGTTCAACTGCCATCACATCTTCAACTGAATAAGGACTTGATTACTAAGAGTGGAGGTTGAACTACTAGACTAATCTAATGCTGTACCATTTTTTACATTTCCAGTTTCCAAATTCTCTGGTTTATTTTGGTGCAAAATGACCCAAAAATGAATGTACAAATAAACATTTTGATGTTTTTTGCTGTGCTTTTAACTCAAACAGGTTTATTCTCTGTGCCAACCATGAACATACACAAGAAATGTCTTTTTAAAAAATGTATTTATTGATAACACAACACATATGCAACATGACTATTATTAAAAAAATCAAAATCCAGAAAGTACCTTTTGATCAGAGTATTTAAAAGGCATAGAGAACACGTGACCCTACAGGCACGGTCACGGAAAGAACAAAAATGATTACATATCTGCAAATCTCTTATACTGCAGCCATCTGGCAAGAATACACTGTGTCATCTGTTTCCGTTTAATCTAATGTATCTCTGCATCCACAGTTGAATCTGTTATAATTTTGTCTTCGCCATTTGCGTTTCACAATACACATCAAAGCAAGAAGGTTTAATCAGACTGAACATTTGGGCAATGTATATGAATCAGAAAATGCTCTGTATGAACTGCAGCATAAGAAGAGGCAGAATTTCAGAGTGCGTTTGACTTCATGCAAATAAATCACTTTCAATACATCCAGCCATAAGTGCTTCCAGCATGCTGTTCCTGATGCAGAAATCATGCCATACATTGCTGTATGTAAGGGGCATTTTTAATCTACTGAGAGAAGAGATCTGGTTGAAAAAACTGCTATGATTGTTGTCACCATGCTTGAATGACTGAGCATCAGAAGATGCATTCTTTAACTAGAATTTTAGGTATGAATGATTCTGAATGTGATTCATATAAAAAATACTTTTTAAAATACAAAAAAACCCAAAGATAAACAATTAATTGCACCAGAAATCCCACACAGACCTGTGCTTTAAGTGTCACTGCTCACATAGATTTTTTTTCAGTCTGCTCCTGTTGGAAATCTGATCAGATCCCTAATAGTTGCTGCACACTCCATCTCAGGCGGTGGCACTGGCACTGATTGGTAGATTAAGATTGAGAAGACGTAGAAGTGATCCTTTTGGCACAGAAAGTGTAAACAGGCTTAGGTCTGGCAGTAAGGTAATGGTAATGGTCACTGTTTGTCTCACTGGACAAGTATGATTGGTATATTGTGTCTCTTGGCATTGCAGACATTGTAAACAAATGAAACACCCTTAGAGTCTAGAGTGATTGGCACTTGTCAAAAACACTAGCTGAGACTGATGACTATACATGCTATGATTTTATCATAACAAGGGTTTTGGCTTATTCTAGCATGCCCTCGGATTGGCTTTTGTTCTCTATGAACCAATATAGTTTAAAACCTTAAAACCTTAGATCAGTCCCTAAACCAACACACAAACAGATACAGAGAGACAAATAAAACCCTGACTGATCCCATCACCTTGAGAAATAAAGTGTAAGAAAAAGGCACTTCTGGACGAGGGGGAGGGGTGTGGGGGTCTCAGTGCAGGCATACAGGCATCTGTATGTCCGTCTGTTCATGCAAACATGGTCAAAGATATCCACTGCAAAGATAGAGAAATAGAATAAATCAGTCCCATACAAAATCATCATATTAAAACGTATATACACCACTATTTTTCAACCTAATATCTATCTGTCGCTTCTGTAGAACATGATTAACACACACAATAATTACACATTTCCATGTGTTTAGAATAACCACTGTCTCAAAACACACATACACACAGACACACAGACACACACAGACACACACAGACACACAGACACACACAGACACACAGACACACTCAAATGTAGTTGAAGCAACTGCCCATAGGCTTCTTTTAAAAGTGCATATGGGCAGATTAGGTTGTAAAACACTGGAGCATTTCATTACCATTGTACTTTATTACAGTTTGGCAAATACAAATCAATTTATATATAATCAAATGGCAGAAAAGTATTATCAAGCCTGTAATTAACAAGAAGCTAAGGATCAAACCTGGATGAAGTTTAGGGATATGTATCCATCAGCATCTGTGTCTAACGTCTTAAATGTCTCTGTGGAAACAAAATGGGACAAGATTGGTGAGCAAAAAGGGGTTAACACATTAAACAACAACATTAAATTACGATGAAATGTATTATGGATAAATCTATTATGGATAAATGTCCTGCAAAACAGTCATTAATTAGGATTTAGGCTAATTTGAGAGTCTGCATTGTCCACTCACTGAACATGGTCTCCAAGCGCACCAGGCAGGTGACAAAGTTATCAAAGTCGACAGTCAGGTCCTCCTCTGTGTAACGCAGGATGATCAGCTGGAATAAATGATTGGTCAGCTTATAGCCTGCGAAAAGGAGAGGAACCATGTTTACAACCAAGCACAGAACCCTGGGCATGTACACAATCGTAACTGACCACAGAAAGAAAATAGAATAGACAGAAAATGAAAAGATAGGAGGATGAGTAACTAGATGCGATAGTTCAGATAATATGAAAAAAGGAACTAGGATAAAAAAAGATGATGGATGGATGGATGGATGGATGGATGGTATAAAGGAGGGAGGAAGAACAGATTGACAATATGAAAGAAGGAGTGGTGGATGGACGGAAGGATGGGCTCACCTGCTGCTTCGAGAGCCATGCGCATCTCATATGAGCTCATAGTCCCGGATTTGTCCAGATCAAACTGCCTGAACACTGTCTGAGAAAGAGAGAGAGCGAAAGAGTGAGAGAGATGAACCTTGGTTGTATAGCCAAACAAAGAGTTAAGTTAACCTGCTGCCACTCACCTCTACTGTAGTTTGTGAACTCTGAGTACTATAAAATATCTCCTGAGCTAAAGAAGCACTTTCCATTTTTAACTCTTTTTAATCAGGAATATAATTTAGTACAAACATGGGACCAGTTTGTTTCATAAGCTGCGTTTAGGGGGCAGGAAAAGGGAAACAATAAAAAGTGGAGAAAAACACTGTAATACAGAACGTGCTGTGTGCACATAGAAAAATAAGACTTTCTCTTTTGATGAAATTTACACCACAGCACTGGTGATGAACCAGTTGCACACAAATCAATAAATAAATAGGTACAGTAAACAAACAAACAAACAGATAGATGAATAAACAAATCTCACCAGATAGCGTTTGATTTTCTCCCACAGGACATGGAACTCAGTGAGACCCAGTTTACCACTGCCATCAGTCTGAACACAGCTATCAAAGAAAATAAGCCATAGACAAGAGACAGACATCCCTACAGACAACAAGACTAGAGCAGACACATTTCAGAACAGCCAACAAAGGAAGACGGGTTAGGGCATTAGGGTTTTAGGTTATTTAGGTTTTTGGCACTAGAAACATCTAGTGTGTTGGTACTTGAAGGGGTCTCCTGTGTCTTTGGGAACACTTGAGCTGAAACCAACAATAATTTAGCAAACTCTTAACTCTTTCAGGTGAAAAGGTTTCCAAGCACTATAACACGACCAACAAGTAAACCAGAAAGTGAACTACAACGGTATTTTCTGAATTATTACTTAGTAAAGAGTGTGCTGAGGTGACATTAGCTAGGAAGCTAGGTAGGAGCTAATGTTACTAGCCTTTATAGTAGCCTCCTATACTGGTGTTTTTGCTTGTATAATAATAATAATAATAATAATAATAATAATAATAATTTTTTATTTAAAAAGCACTTTTCATGCCAGTGGCAGCTTTAAGTGCTTTACAAACAGGTAATAAAGCTTAAGAGTAATAATAAAATTGAGTAATTTTAAATTATATAAGAAAATGACAGCTCAAATTAAAAGATAAACATCAAAAGAATGAAAATTTTAATTAAATGCTAAGTTAAAGAGTTTTAAGTTAAAGTAAAAGGTTTTTAAATGTTTCTTAAAATTGAGCACTGAGCTTCACTGTCTAATAAAAGATGGAATTGAGTTCCACAGTTTCGAAGCATAATAACTGAATGAGTTTGACAGAAGGGATTTGCAGAAGGCCGGTATCTGCAGATCTAAGTTCACATGCTGGAACATAAACAGACAGACATTCTGTGATCTAAGCGGGAGCTTTAAGGTCATTTAGAGCCTTAAAAACTAGTAGTAGAACTTTAAAATCTATCCTGAAAGATACAGGTAGCCAGTGCAGTTCAGGAGTGATATGATCTCTAATAAGCGTTGTTTATTTTGCACATAATTCTGTGTAATTATAGACATTTGCGAACCCACTTATCTAAATGTTAAAACAAGGATACGTCCATGAGGTTAATCATACTGCGGCAGGCCTCTGGACCAAAGCCATCCGTCTTCAGGTCCTTGTCTGTGAGAACAGTGGGAGATTTATCTCTGAATCAGCGAACATTCACTTATACAGAGCACACAACATCTACTTTATGCTTTTTAAGCACCTTGTATGAACTGAATTTTGATTGTCACTGTGGCTGTAATTGTGAAGGGCAAATTCTCTATCAATCATACTCACGTTTGCTGATGATTCTGTTCAGGATGGTCTGGAGCTCAGTAGCACTGATTTCCATGTCCTGAACACAAACACAGTGATTAAATAACAGCACTGCTATATTTTGCCATCTGTACTGCCAGAACACATCCTGTTTGTTCTTACCGCTCCAGCCAGCTGCCTAAAGAGACTCTTAAATCCGGCATCAATCTGACTCTCATCTAAATTTTTCTGAGAGAATGAAGAATCAACAAGAGAGAGAAAGAGAGAGAGTACATGGTTCTTACTTTTTCCTTTAGGCATGTGTTAATTCACGGTGCTTTTACGTTTTACATTTGTGTATCTGCACTACCCCAACTCACCTCTGGGGGGAGATCAGCTGTGACCTCATCATCCAGCTCTCTAGAGCAAGAAGGAAATGACTTTGGGTCAGCATTCAAACATATAGCATTATATACATCCACAGCAACTGTACTTTAAATACAATAACAACAATGTAATTCATGAATGCTTTAAAGTGATGGTTCAACCAAAAATCTAATTTATACAGTTTTCCCCCAAATGTAGCCAATCAGCCAAGACATGTGTCATGTCTGAGGTTAGCTACTGACACTTTTACCCAATCCAGTAGCATTGTGCAAACCCTACGTCTAAACACACTTGCCTCAAACTGTGTCAAGTTGCAATAAGTAACAGACTTACTGCTTATGTGTTTGCCGACATTGTGTGACGCACAGTTATCTAGAAAAATTTTAACAAAAAATTACGGACAAAATTCAGGCTTCAAGATGTTTGCTGTTATTGTTGCTATGGGATGTACTGTTGTCCATTTTTACATAGCAAACATTGGACACAAAGCAAACATGCCTTGGTTGAGTAACTGGATGTGATACTATGTTTGGGGAAAACTGTGTGAATGCAAACTACAATGTGATGCTAGTATTCCCACACAAGAACATAGCTGAACATTTAGGAGCTGCACTGGTTGAAAGCTCTCAGACAGGGTTTAGAGGGCAGAACACTGTGTGCCTTCCTGGCAAGAAGATATTACGCCTGTAAAAGCTGCCAAGAGTACAGTGTACATTTTAGCACATCCTCATATCACAGCGTCAGGTTTCAGACATCCAAAAAAAATAGCTTCAGTTCTAAATAAATGAAAAATACTGTCCTCATATCATAGCTCTCGTACAACTGGACATCAGGCAAAACAGCCTCAGGCAAAAGGAATCAGGTGAAGCGGACACAGACAAAACAGCCTCAGACAAGTTAAGATTTTTTTTAGATTAATTACAGTTAATTAACTTACACATTAATTACCACAACTTTTATGGAACTGTGCTCTTATGTTCTTTTATTTCACATAGATTAAGCTTCAACTTGATGTGCTTTGTTCTGTGTTGGTTTCGGTGTTTAGGAACCGTTGAAAAATTATCAGAAGAAACAGTGTATAAATTATTTTTGGGACTAAAAAAATTAAAGCTAAAGCAAAATAAATGAATAAAATAAAAGAATAAATGACCACAGTTATTTTCCACACGGGGTTAGGCCATGCCATCGCTTTAAAAGGACAAATTTTTCAAACCATCTAAATTTCCGACCCAGGACTCTTTTCCCCCGATTGTCTCTCTCCTTTACTCACTGTGAGTCAGCAGGTTTCTCCGAGAAGACACGGAGCACAAAGTCAGCCTCTTTCTGTGGCTCAAACGTTGAGGGGACGACGATGTACTCTCCGGCTGGCAGGCTGAAACGGGAGCTGACCTCTCTCAGGTTAATGAACAGCTCAGATCGCGCACTGGACGCATGCGTGAGGAAGAAATCTCGCTTTAGGTGCACTCCTGACTGACCCATGTACTGCCAGACACAGACAGATGACAAGAGTAGAGAACAGTGCTTATGACTTGACAATAACATTGACTCCATAAACATCTTTCAATTTTTTAACATATTTTCTTCAAATTGTATTTGCAAATAATTTGCAACAAGAGCCAGTTAAGAATATATCTTCAATAGACATGGTTATTATTTTGGAATACTGACAGTAACTGAGTAAATAAATAATTATTTTTAAGTCACCCTCCCCCCATATCTTTACGTATGTCATTTATATTGTGTACTAATAGTGATGTGAGTACATTATACACAGATACCCTAACCAACTTTTAACCCAGCCTTGAGCAGCTGCCACCATACCTCTCTAGGAACCTGCAAAAGGAGAAAGAAAAGACCAAAACATAACATTAGAGCAGAAAATCACATGAAACCTCTTCATTTAATCTCTAGAGCTGCATTAATCCGAATCTTTCAGCTCTGACCTCGTAGACGGCGAAGCCGATGGTCTCCATGTCTTTGCCTTCTTTCCGTTTCTTCCTGCGGTCCTTCTGCATCAGAGCCACCAGGAAGCTGCAGTCGGAGCTGCCCACTTTGTCAGGGTTTGTAAGATTGATTTTAAACTGAGGGTTGATCCAGAACGTAGCTGAGGATCGTGAGAGAAGGAGAGCAAAAAAGGAAGCAGAACTCAGACTTTAGGAAGAGTTTTGCAAAAGAGTTTTTGTTGTATTATACTGTGGCACTCTGCCCACAGAGGTACACAGACTGCATGAAGTAAACTGCATGCTAAAATCACCACAGCTCTCAGGATCTTATCTCTCTCAACAGAGAATTTAAACTGGCTCTAGATTTCTGTACTTCCGTGATCTGTATCTGGAATGACTGCTTATTAAGCTAAATGCTAGTAGCAAGCAGTTGTGTCTCTTTAAACAAGTTTTCAGAGCAAGATAGTCACTAAACCAGAAAGCGTTCATACTATCTCATTTTAAAGTTATTTCTGAATTTCGTTTGAACTGCTACCTCCAGTCTGTTGTTTTTTTTTTAATTTTATTTATTTATTTTTTACAGGACTGTTGCTGTAAACAGTCTGTGATTGGTCGATATGCATGTCAGTCAAATGGTTCTTTCCTATCATAGCCAGCAGTTCTTGAAATCTAACCAGTCTAATTTATGAGGCAGTATTTCAGCACAGTCTTACAAAGCTTGTAGTGGAACTGCGTTCATTTCATGTAGTTTTTACTTTATATAAGAAAGTACTTTGTTTTCTGTTTTCTGTTCTCCTGCCTATTTATTGCAATTTTTTCCATCACTTTCAGACACTGTCTTTAACTAGTGGAATATTAGTTAACTAGTCTGGACAACCATTAATACACACTGGGTGTAACACATAAACAGGTATGAAAAAAGTACAGAGAAAGTGTGCAAATCTGAGTACACTGTCAAAATCTTACTCAATTTAAAAAGACATTCAGAGCCAAAAACATAACTGGGTGAAATTAATAATGATCTACATTTCAACATACCAAGTACATGATGGCACGTACATGAAAGTAAATGTTTAAACAAATGTATTTCTCTTTTTTTGGTTTGCTTGGTGAAGTGATGCAGTAGTGCATTGTTTACGACAAATGAGCTGTACTACTGAAGGCTGAATTCTGTCTTTACTTTTATCCATTTTCATAGATCTGCCTCTCCAACACCTGATGCGTTCATACTACACTAATATACACCTAAACACACACCTGGATAGTTCCTGCAGCCTCCAGCAGTGCTGCCTCTTCTCCACTCGCCCTGATAGAGAGATGTGCTCCATTTCTTCACCTGACACATCTCCAGAGCATCCGCCGTCAGATTACAGATCTCCAGCCTACTGAACTCCTGCAGGAAATCCCTGAAAGACATCCTAAAAGAAACAAAAAAGAAAAAGAAAAACAGCAATAACTGAATAGAGAGAGACAGAAATACAGATAAACAAATAAAGAAAGGAATTTGGTTAATTATAAAATCAGTCACATATAAAATATAACAAATAATAAATACATACAGAGAGAGCAAGAGAAAGAAGGAAAAATAAATACAGATACATCATATTATGAACAATAAAAATATATATTATTATGAAAAATATATAATAAATATATATTATTATGAAAAATAAATAAGAGGAAGAGAAGGAAAATTATGAATGAAAATGAGAAAGAAGAGGGAGACAAAGAAAGAAATACAGATAAAGCCAATAATGTATAACATAAATAAATAATAAATATATAAACAGAGACTAAGAGAAAGGAAGAAAAATAAATATAGATACATCATTCTCAATAACAATGTAAGTAAGTAAATAAATAAATAAATAAGGATGTGATAACAAAATATGGAAAAAAGAGAAGGAGAGAAAAATAAAGAAAAAGAGAGGGAGAGAGAGAAAGAGAAAGCCTTGGGTCACTAGCCAGTTTACTAATTAAAAAAATGAGGACCTTCAGAATCACCTTCAGAAATCACATGCAAACTCACCAGAACTCTCCATCCTCACTGCGGTTGTATAACCTGCTTCTGGTGGACGGGTCCACACTGTCCCACTCTCTAGAACTGAGAACACAACAGCAGCGATTAGCAGTGCACACTAACACTCTGCCTCTGCTTCTGCCTGAAGACGTTATCTGCTCTTACTTGTCGCTCCAGCCTCCAGTCCATTCCACCTCTCCCCAAGGGTTTCTGATACGTACTAGCTTGGTGGGGGTTCCTCTGAAAACCACCTAGCATGTGAACAAAAACACACTTATCGAATTATTCATATTATCAGTGACGGATGTGAAATGGACAGGTGCTTTTACTTCAGATTTTTAAAATGCAAACTGTCCCAGACTGTCCTGTGGAATTAAATAATACAAATCTGGATATTTATCAATAATTATTTTCATAATTTATCAATTGGCTGCTGATGGTTAGCCTTCATTCACTAAAAGCCCACCAGCTCACCTCATCTACCGCAGTCACTGAGTAGGCATGGCCTTTAACCAGTTTCTTGAAGGTGACTGCTTCCATGTCAAATTTGCTGGTGATCTATGGAACACAAAGAAAAAACTTTTCACTACAACAAAGATCATGATTTGCAAGCTTTCCAGTTATTTTGTTCAAGGCTCTCTCAAAATAATAATGATGATAACTTTTTTTAAACTACATGTGGTCAGTGTACATATCAGTGTGCATGTACTGTAGCGTGTAACAGTAAATTGTGATCACAGCTCTACAAGACTAAATTTACTGAGTGGAGATGTCACACTTGAAGGCTTATTTATGATTAGGCATGAACAGGACCTAAAACACTAGTCCTGTGATGTTAGACAGTTCTGCAGTTTAGCAATCACTCTTATTCAACATGCGTTATAAGGCAATTGCAATCCTGTCCTGAGCTGATTTCGAGATGGTAAATTAAGAAGAGTAAACGGTAAATTCTGCTGTATGCTGTATTCATTCACTACATCCACTAATCTACAGGGTATCATTCAATTATTTAACTATTAATTGAAATAAGTCATTGAACCGTTATGCTCTCTGCAGTTTCCTCATTTTGCTCCTTTTAAAGCACCACAAACATGCAACATTCTGTCTGTGCGGCAAACAAGTTACTCTTTTATACTGCACAAAATAACAACATTATAGAACAGTGGTTTTCAACAGGTGGGTTGGTATACTGCTAGGGGGCTGCTGTCAGTCATTTTTATTTATTTATTTTTAAAAGCATTTTTTATATGGCAAACATTATTGTGTTATCATTTGTAAAGATAAAACATAAAAAATACTGAAGTCCAGCTCAGTGATTGGTCTAGCAAAACCCATAATAGATGTAACTGATATAGGTAGCTAGTTATGTCTACATTTGAAGTAAAACGTTTGTTTTGTATGTAATTCAAATTGCTACAAACAATTTTTTCTCCATAATTGTGTTACTATTGTGTGATTACATAATACAGTTAAGTAAACTTTGAAATTATAAATGATTGGGCCAGTTAAATCTTCCTGTGGACTGCAAAAGATTTTGTGGTCAGTTGTGCGGGCCATGACTAGAAAACAGGTCGGGAAGCTCTGTTATAGAGTTTTACAGCTGTTTTTAAGTAAATAACACACTGACTTTTTTCCATAATCACCAACAACAATTAAGTTTGTCTAGTAACGGCTGCAGCCCTACAGTGGTCCTCCAGAATCCATGCTGGTCACCCTTGTTCTGAAATATTCTACGAATGGAGCAGATGTGTGATACTGACGTCTATAGAACAGCCGAGCAGAGATCCTCTCTCCACAGCCCTCTGAATGATGCTGTAGAGATCAGATGGAGCTTTCCTCAGCTCATACATCTCTGTCACTCCACCAGTGAAGTCCTCAAAGCCCTCTGATGTACTGCCACCTGAGAGAGCCTCATAACAGCCATTCAGCCTGGGGGAAAGAACATAATTTACCAACAAATTACTAGCCATTATCTCTCTTTTTAGTTGAAGAAGAACTTGTTCAGCTATAACTGTTCATACCTTTTGGGGCATCAATTCATTGGCATATTTCTACAACAGGTCTATTATGAATGTTACTGTTTGAATCAGACACTGTACTGCACTTTTTCTAAAAGGTCTTAAAACAGTGATTTACTTTGCAGTAAAATCTTATTAAGAAGTCAGGCCCTGGTCTTACTTGGCATAGGCCTTCTCCACCAGAGCGCTCCAAAACTCCCCACCCTCCGCTGAGTGAACAAACAGCAGCTTCCCATCCTTCACCGGCAGTCTGTCATCAATAACCACTTCCACCCACTCGCCAAACTGCCAAAACTACAGAAACAGAGAGAGAGACAGAAAAAAGAGAGAGAAAAATAACCAAGATAAATAGAAAGCAACCAGCAGGTGGCAGAATGACCACCGTACAGTGACAGAACAGGCTGTGTACAGAGAGGGAATCCCATAACTGTTCTCGCCCTCCCCCTAAGCAGCTAACAATGATCACATTAGCAGACTAGCTTACATTTGCACCGGGTGAGCGAGAGCAGACTAGTTTACATTAGCGCTGGGTGAGTAAGCAGCTGACTGAGGCTGCAACAGTATTCATCATTCAGAACATTTCAACATTAGCAGTTTGGTGTGTCGGCTATAAAAGCCACATTTTAACATTCATTTTAATACCCTAAGACAGGAAGGGAGTAGGTCAACGTGTGTTATGCTTCCTTTATGCTACGTGTCTCTCTTTTGCTAAGCAACAACAGCACTGCAACTGTCAGTCAACTGTGCTTGCAAGCTATCAATTTGATATGTACAGGCAAGGAGTTTAACTACTTTTACAGCTAGCAAATACAGTGCTGCTGGCAAACCAAACTGCTAGCAAAAACAAAAAGATGCATTTTATTTATATCGTGATTTTGGACTACAACCATCTCTAAAGGTCCACCTTATCTTTGATATGACTGGTCATATTATGGCACAGAAAAAAGTATGATGATTTAAGCTACTTTAACTTTTTTCGACAAGGAACTTGAGTGTGCCACACAATAAAAAAACAGGCAGTGCACATAAAACAAGTCTCCCCCATTAAAAAAAACAATTACAAATGAGCATGTTGTGAACATGCCCCCAACACTATGTTTAACACAAAAGTCTTGCCAAGCTGATGAGCTGAATCAGGTGTGCGTAATTATGCAGAACGCCGATGTCTGCTATGCTGTCTGCCAGAAGGACCCAGGACTGGACATGTCCCTTAACATGAATATCACAGACTGTTACATCACATCAAAATACAACTGTCTGTCCACCCACAAAGGTGTTGTTTTATAGCAAATGGTGCAGTTTGGACAACACTACCAAAATCCTATTTAACCTAATGAGAAACTATAGCACTCAACCCACTTTTTAACCAAATACAGAAATGTAGAGTGTAGATCAATTCAAATTATGTTTGTTTTGCATGTGAGTGAGATGTCACACCACTGGAAAAGAACAGAGTATTTTCTGTTTGTTGTTTTTGTTTGTTTTTTATGAAGCAAGGTGGCAAAATAACTGTGGTTCCTAAACGTCTGAGTTTTACTTAGCTTTAACTTAATCTAGCTCGGCAGTGTGGCACTCTAAACTGCAAACTCAGTGTTGTGTAGTGAACCTCAACTCTGACCCAAATTAATTTGGTTGAATGGGAATTTTGCTTGATTTTTGAGTTCTGTAAAGCTTGTCCAACCTAGCAAAGGTTGCTACAAAATGGCTTGTACAACTCTGCATTCTGAACACTCAAGACATCCAATTAACAAACACGTTTCACTGCAGAGATGTAAATCACTAACAGCAGTGAAATGACAGAGGAACTGAGATAGGCACTCAGGTGCAGCGACACTAGCAGACTGTGAAAAGGCATGGAGTTAATTTTGCATGCTCTGGGGCACTGATGCCATCTCTCTGCTAGAAAGAGGAGGGGGAGAAACAGAGATAGAGAGGCTGTGGTGCTCTCACACTGATCTCTGGGCTGCTAACAGGAACACACAATCGTGTCCAACTGCTTAGATCTGTCTCAGTAAAATGCCTCTCTTGAACCCATCAGCCACATCATTCTCTCTCTGTCTCTGCCCTCACTGTCTGCTGCTTTATTGAAAATACTCATGCCATACAATCCTCTCTGCTGTCTTCTATGCTTGCTTTCTGTCTGAAAAACTGGTTAACCAATACAGTTAACTGATATTAAAATTTTACATACAGTGGATATAAAAAGTTCACAAACCCCTGTAAACAACATACAAAGTAAAAAAAAAGTTACCTAAACATCTGTCAAAAGCTTCTACTCACTGTGTTTAAGTTAATAATTTGCACCACTGACTTTCTTGTCACACATTTTGATGTCATGAACCACCAGACCCCAAAAGGCGATTTAAACAACACATGAAATTCAAACTGACGGGTCAAAGTGAGTCACATACCCAGAACTCCAAAACCACAAAATGTGGCTTAAATCTGATTTAAAGTCAGATTTCATGTGGCGTTCTGCCATTCAGACTGCAGAAAATCTGTCCTGTCTGCAGAACAATTGGATTTAATCTGCCTGTCTGAACAAGGCCTCATGTTCCTTCTGTTTGTTCTATACCAATAAGAGTCAACAGGTCAGACTCCTAACTGAACACCTACCTCTGTAACATGACTAACATTGTAAGTCACTCTAGATCAGAGCATCTGCCAAATGCTTAAATGTTACCCGTTAGGAAATCACTGTTTAATTAAACCATATTTTGACCATTTAAAATTCTACTGACTGATATGATCTTCTATAAAAAGTTCTAACTCTTTTAGCTGCTGGTCTTATGTTGCTTCATCTACATTCTATAAGATCCTGTGACAGTTTTAAGTGTAAACTCTTGCTTCAGCTTTCCAGCCTAATGCAGCAACAGGCTAACAGTGTCAGCTTTGTGAGGGTGCATTCTCTCTTACTGAGCTAAGGCCTGGTTAGTTGAGCTCAGGCTGGTTTGAGAAGTTGATTATATTGTAAGGTTTGTGGGAGGCAGATTGGATTAGGAGAACTGTGCTGTCGTCTACTCAGGCCATTAGATGCACCAAGAAAGAAGTAAACAGATTAAAACAGACTGAAGCTTCTCTCGCTGGTACACACATATATCCCTGCTTTCAATTACGTCTGGATGAGTCATAGTTAAGAACTGCTCTGAACTACAAGGACACATTAATGCATACACAAACAACCATACATGTCTGCTTTTAATTACATCTAAATAAGTCACAAGTAAAGATGCACTCTGAAACACAAGAACACACACACAGAGCCAAGGCATAATACAACAAGGAAAGAGCCTCTGAAAGAAAGAGCTTTGCATTTATAATGCTGAATAAAGCAAACATAGACCAGCTTCATTCATGCCAGTGTTAATGTTAGCTCATGTTTCTACTGTAAACACATCCTGAGGAAAAAGCTCCATTAGAGCTTCACAGTTGACTAAGTGCATTTCTGAACCCTTTCAATCAGAACGTCTCAAAGGATTCCCTTCAGTAAGATCCTTTTGGCTCATCTACATACATTAGTCTCTCTGTGTGTAGTAGCTTTGATATTATTGAATATTGTGATAATTTAACCCCTTAACATTCCAGGTTTATTTCATACAAAGGCTTATTATTCAGTTGCTACAGGTACTTAAATACAAACTAATGGAGGTTTTCTTTCTTTTTCTTACAGAAGTGTGTAATAAAATGGCTTGTTAAGGGCTTAAATATACGCAGATACTTTTTCATGTGCCATATTATTTTTTTTATTGCTTCACTTTTTATTTAGTTGTTACTACTGCACATTCATTCAAATCTATGTTTAGTTAAAAATGAATACAACAGACTACGCTTATTTACTTGTGGATGTTCCCTCTTTGTATAAGCTATAATTAACTATACACATAGATCACTTTGAATAACACTTGACTTTAACCTAGATTTTCAGCCCAGCGATGAGTTCTGGGGTCTACGCAAAGGAAACAAAGAAAATTCAGTACATAAGATCTGTTTAAAAATGGATGAGCAAAACGGAAAAGAAGTTTGTCGAGCTTGAATAACTGGAACAGGGTTACATGCTGTCTGTGCAGAATAAAGTTATTGTAACTGTTATTACAAAAGTTACCTAAAGATAGATAGTAATTATAGGTAATTACAGTCACATGAAAAAGTCTGGTTACCCCTGATCATATTACATTTTGTTGATTTTCTAAGAAAAAACAAGTTAACAGTCAATTTGAAAAGATCTGGAACTGCTTGGTTTCTTACCTTCAATGAACTGTGGTTACGTTTAATGGTGCATTTAGATGCTTCGTCACGGATAACGCAGCATTTATGCGGAGAGTTTTAGGTAGAAAAGGTGTTTGCTTTTTATTTTTAGTATGTCTGTCTCTCCTGTGTTTTACATACTTGTATTGTTTTCAAGCATACATTGTAATATGCTGATATTTTTGCATTTGCTAAAAATGGAAGTTTTGAAAATGGAAGTACTGAAATCCTTACAATCTAAATTTCAATACAATGCGTCTCAATAAAAAATAATTAAACCAAAATAAGTTGACATGTCCTCTATCGAGAACACGTCTACACATTTTAATGCACAATTACTGTTTATTTGCTAAGTTTAACATAAATACAATATAAAATGTGGCCTGTGCACATATGATTTGTTTTATTATAACATATTTAAGTTTGTTCTCTGTAGAGGATGTGTTAACTTATTTTCACTTTGAAAATCATCAAAACATGTTGATCGGGGGGTTACCATCAGGAAAAAATGCAAGCTATAGGGTAAGGTTCTGTAATGCTCACACGTAGCATTTTACTACTGAACTCTGATTTCTATGGTTTTTCTTATGGCTTAATTCTACAGACGACAGTCTTTTATTTACTTTTATATTATCATCCAAAATTAGCGTGAATATAAAATAAATGTGTGGCTATACTTGGATACTAATGCTGCAGTATGTTGGTATGTGCATGCATGAGAACTAATAAATAGAAAACATACTTTTTTTTTATATGTGTTTGCACATGCACCAGATGAATGATCCAGAAGAACAAGAGCATGCTACACACACTGTTAAAGGCTGTGTCCAGGTCGTCCTCTTAAGTACATAAAACCCTGCTGTACTAGATGTGTGCTTTATCATCCTGCTACATGTGTATCTCCTTTTTTATCTCCTCTTTCTGATTTTTCATCATTTTATGGGCATGAATTAAGAGTAATCAAAACCATTTAACCATTAGGGTTATACAATATATGATAAGGAATATCACAATCACAATACGGGCAATATAATAAACATATGGTGTTCTGGCCACATGGAGAATCCTTGCTAACTGTTCATCATTTCAACACAGGTGTTTAAAGCTGTAGTTTTAGCCAACAATACACACAGTGAGATCACCATCATGCTGTCATATTGTGGTATAGTGAGATTATCATGTTGTCATATTTTGTAATGCAGGCTACGACTGTATTACTAAGATGTGTATTACTGTGCAGCTCTCTGTGGCTTTTATTTGCATTTGTACAAAGTAAAGCCACAGGTACAAACAAAGTGACAATAGAACAGTGGAGAGAGGAGGGGCTGGTGACAGGTCTATACATATTCCAGCTTTCCTACCAGCACTCACACATGGCAACAGTACCGAATAGGTTTAGAGAGACATGTACAGGTGAAATCTGCTGTATATGTGACAACAACATGTTTGGAAGTCTACTAACATTGCTGGTTATTAAAATTAAACCATAACTGTGCTTCTCCACCCTCAAATTAGTTTGCAACGAACAGTGTCAACTAATCTATTCATGCTGCACCCACAAATGTGTCATTTTACTGCAACTGTAGCTGGGTTAGACATGCAAAAAGGAAGTGAGTAGGCAAGTACACAACAAATGAAGCAATGGTTAATTTTTTAGGCCAGAGTGTCCCTTTAATAAACAGTTTGGTTCCATTTAATTGTATTAAACTATAATATATTCTATTTTTCTTGTACTTTTAAAAATCTTGGCTTCTGCAAGCTCTGGCGTAGGTGTATGTGTACCTGGAAGTGGAAGATGCCGGTGTAGCCACTGCTAAAGCTCTGTCCATGTGGAACCACACGGTGCAGCAAGTTATCGTTAAGAGTGAGAGATGCAATAGCAGCCAAGAGCCAACAGTCACCTGCAAATATTAAAAAACAGACATAAACTTTAATTTCCATTCAGTCCCAGATTCATATGCTAGATAAAGGTAGAACCCCTGATCTGTTCAGTGTTTCGTCTCCAACACATGTGATACATGCCAACATGTCATGTTTTATTTATTTCGATTTATAGTTTGAATATGCAAACATTTGATTTCCTTATTTATTCAGGGCTGGGAAGGGCTGGACCAGGAACCATTTCTTTAGAAAAATTCATTCTGGCCAGGAGCAATCCTTCCAAAATGATCCACCCTTTCCCTTCTCTCCTCCATATTACCTCATATGATCATGCTGTTTGGGTCAAACACACATGCCAAATCAAGATCACTTAGACAACGGCAATGACAAGCAGTGACTCAAGTTAGTACATAATATAGTATATGTTATATGTATTGTCGTCATCTCGAAACCTCATAATGCCATTTTAAAAATTATTTGACAACATTTGAGAATGTGGAAAGTTGCCCTTAAACTGGTGATTGAAGATAAACGGAAGCATTTAAATGGTCTAAAATGACCTGGAATGAAATCTTGTTATTAAGCTTGGATGGTAGCAACAATTTAGACAAACAATTATCGTCTGCAGAATTATCACAATTAAAGTTATCATTGTGAACCAAATTCAGTTACACATGTATAACCAACTGGGCTAGCTTCTAATATTCCGTAACAATCTATAACGATAACTATATTCTACACAGACAGCATATGACACTCTTAACATCCAGTGGTTCTCCGCGTTCATTTGGACACTAAATATGCAGGTAACCCAGGATTCTTTGCTAGACTGAAAATCTGCTTGTGGATCAAAGTATAATTGTCTGTAGGTAATCAGTGTGCGATGTTATGTTTGTATACATATTTTAGGGTACAATTTCTATTTTCGCCAAGTTTAATATACTGAAAAAATAAAACATAACGTTTGCTCAAACCACATTTAATGTTGTTTAACCAGGGGCACCCAAACCTTTGACAGCAGTCTGTAATCTAACATGGTGCTATAACAGGTTCCCGAAGGCAGCACGAGTAATGTTAGCATATTTCTTAGCTATGTAGCTTATCCTGTTTTTAGCATGCATGCTAGCAGAATTAATGTTTTTTGTTTACATTTTCACTCTTAAGAACAAATCTAGCATTGCTTGAGTACACATGGTTATGTGTCACTATAGACATTTAAGTAAATATATCTAGGAATGAAAATGGCTCATTTTAATTTGGACACTAAAGGCTTGTCCTCTAATAGTTGCATATTTATATTATTTATCTGACCAATATTCATCAGCTAAACTGTCATGACATGACAGCCCTGTTCATAAAGACAGAATGAAAGTGCATGATTCTCCTGTTGACTGATTCATCTTAGATCCATCTCTGCTTTCCTAGCATTCACCCTCACTACTTAGGAGTTTACATACCACAGTGTCTAAACTCCTTTAAACAGGATGATCTACAGCTAAAATGAAAGCTCACTACCATAAAAAGAAGAATCATTTTGGGCCAAAACTCTCCCAAATAAGGATGTCCAGTGTGAGTAATGTTAGCTGAAGCTGTCAGACTGAAACAATATTCAACACTTTAATGAGACTGTAATTATATCCATATTTCTCAAAGCTCTTAGGAAGCAAAAATCTGGAACAACCCACAGGTAACTCAAGCAGTAATTAGTTTACCACAAGGACCATTGTCACAGTTCTAAACGCTGCATGGGTTAAAACAGGTTTTCAGGTGCAGAAGCATTATGCAAGTCTGGCCGCTGGGGAAATAAAGCTGCTGTGGATTGTGTGTGGATCAACACACACACAGACACACACAGACAGACACAGACAGACACAGACAGACACAGACAGACACAGCAGCTCCACAGGAGCAAAGCATTCATTATAAATGAAACAGCGTGTTCAGGGTAAATCACAGCACAGTTTTACAAAGGTCAAGGAGCCATGTGTGTGCATTTCTCCTCTGGTCTGGAGAACCCATGGGTCTTCAAGCTAGAGTTGTTTCTTAACATTTAGGTGCAGGACAGGGCAGGACAGTAGTGGCTGGTGCTTTGTGGCACCAGTGTATGCCCTGCTGTCTCAAAAACAGCTCTAAACAGCACTAAATTACATACTAACAAAAGCTAATAAAACCCTTATTGTTAACAGCTTACTTACTGTTACTTACAGGTTTACCCAATAAAAGAAAATAAATAACTCAGAATTCTGTATTTACAATTTATTCACAATATTTTCCAAACAGTGACTATTTTTAATTTGAGATGATGTCAGTCAGGCACAGAGTCTGTACTGGTGGTCTGTTATGAGATCCCACTCCTTTGAGAACACAACCAATCACCACATACAGAAGCTGAAGTTCCAGGCAGGAGAAAAGGTATTTTGTAAAAGCCTACAGGAAAAACAGTACTCCTGAGACTCGCACAGACTTCCCAGCCCAGAGTCTGGGTGGGGCCCAAAATGGCATTGTAAAAGCATGTTGTCTGGTGAACGTTGATCTTTGTTTCACTAAAACAAGGTGTATTTAAATATGCAACTAACTCAACTTGAAGCCTGGCTTTAATAGGGCTCTGCAGGCTGAGCTTCCACTGACTTCCACAAACACATTCACTGCAGTGATACAGCATCGATATTTTACACTTTCTAATCGCTAAAATTAATGAATTGCAGGATGAGTTATGAGCAACACAGACACGTTAGTAAACATTTCAGTGCCATATTCTGATGTAATTTAGGGGGGGAAGCTGTAGTCTTATAGGAACCACCACTGATGGAGAAATCCAATATATTAAACTGAATATGGAAATAAAACATATATTGAAATAATAAATAAAATTAAAAATGTGAGACTTATGGCAAGAAAAAGCCCTATTTAAAGCGATAGATTGGTCAAAACATCAAATTTACAGTTTTCCCTTTAAAGCTAAGACATGTTTAGTTTCCAAAAAGTTTCCTTAATTTTGCAACAGAGCTTTGAGGCCAATGTAGCTTAATGCAGTAAAATTCAGGCCTCAAGTCAGCCGCTAATGTCTTTTAACTTCTCTTCCTGTCAAAACTATTTTGTCTTTCTGTAACACATGCACTGTTCTCTAAGGCAAGCCTGTGCATGTGAGTCTACACACTTCCTTCAGGCGGAGCTATCGCCATGGTAACAGGGAAGAAACCCCTAAAAGGTGGTAGGACAAACTCACCAAGAGCCCCTTGACAGATGTCTGTGCGTGTGGCTCCATCCACAATGAACTGAGGACGCGAGCAGATCTCCTGTAAACACATACACACTGTATTCATTATGAAATGAAGTCACACAGGCAAACAATCATTATATTATTTATATATTATTCATTTTAAATAATATACAGTTGTATGCAAATGTTTGAACTTGAACGTTTTTCCTCTGTTCCTCCTTCCTATATTAAAGAGTTAAAGGTTAAAGGTTAAAAGGTTTGTGAATACATGTGAATTACATTTTGTAAACAACAGCATTTATAATTTGTTCAGTGGGTTAATATCAGTCAGTGATTAGACTGCCGCTGGATATTGAGTGGTATGCCTCTTAGCGGTAAACAAACTGTTTGACTGTGGTTTACGCTTTGTTGAACAGGAGCTGAGAGCTGGAGCCTGTACCTTCTTACGACCCCAATGTGTTTGTCAGCTATCTAGCTGATATACTCAGCACTACGCCTGAACCCAAAACTCTTGTGAAGGATCATTACTCACAATAAGAAGTCACAGACCAATAAAGAGGGGTTACATATGGAGAGTGAATGGTACAGTTTAAACGTTAACAGCATGTTCATAATGCATCAAACTCTTTCTGCGTTAACAGCTGAGGGAAATTTGGTTTTCCATGATATGAGCCTTTTAAATTAACAAATAAACAGCAATTATGCATTCAAATGTGCAGAAATGTATTGCCTGTAGATGGTGTGTACTCACTTTCGCTAGTAACGTCATGTATATTTACACACACACACACACACACAAAAGGAACACTTCATTAGCTCTGCATTCCTCTTCAAAAGTGCTACAGTATCAAACCCACAATGCGGGCTCATGGCTTTCTCACTGGCACGTGGCCCACTTATTACGCTATTGCTCTTTGTGCTGCTGCAGCATCTCTACTCTCAGCCTGCGGGCAGGGAGTAAACCTGCTAAATTAGTTATGAGGCCCATCCCTCTGCCTTTTATTCCACACAAATCACTTCAGGGATAGCCCCAGCCCAAACATGCCCCCCCCACTCTGCCTTCTCTTTTCCCACACTCGCCCATAGCAACAAGCCCAAACTGCTCGCTCATACACAGAAGACGGATGATAGGAAATCCTCCAAGAGTGGAGCCATCAGGCACTGTGGCAGCGACGAGCTATTAAAAGCATCATTTTGGTGGGTGAAGCGCAGAGGGTGCACGATCAAAATCAGCAGTCACTCCTAACACAAGACCACAACTGGCCAACTTATTCTAATTGTGAATGATTTGTATCTGTAGCGACCTTGACATAAATAATGTGAGCCAGCCAAGTACATGAATGCTATGTGTGCATGTCCTTGCATGTGCAAAGCACCAGTGTTTTATTTCAGGGCATTTTTTTTAGCCCTCAAACAAAGTATGAACTTCAAGTAAACAGTAAATAAACAATGTCACAGGTCTTGGTTACCTACTTTTTTGAAAAAATCATAATGGTCCAAGAAAATGTTCAGGAAGTGATGTTTGGGAGCCTTATCAGCGGGCTATTAAAGTTGTAACAATTCAAAAAATTCATAATTAAGTTCAGTATAATCGAGATTAAGTACATTTTTTTTCATACAGCCAAAATAAAGCTGCTTGGGCAATAGGGCAATGGTTCAGAAAGGTTTACGGCTTTTCACAGACAACTGTAGCTGAACTGCAGAGCGACTTAGCATTATCATTTAAATGCAAAGCACAAGAACATGGCTTTGGAACAGTCTCTCTCATTCACAGATGTGCAGCGGTGTGAGGTTTCTCCAGCAGAAAAAGCTATTAACACACAAGCTGCTTTTATGTAGAAGAAAAAGCCTTGAACTCTCACTATTGGTGAAACAGTTTATTAGTAAAAGTTGTTAAGTTACTCAATACAACATAATATAAATACATGATTTCCATTAAAAGAATTTCAGTAATTCAGTTAAAGCTAAAGTGCATATAAGCAGACCGTGTGTGGGGTTGGAGGGGGTGGTTGGGGTTTAAAAAAAAAAAATTAATGCTAATTACTTTTCACCTCAGCCTGAATTCATCATTACTGAATGCAGTGAACAGAAGTACAATACTTAATACTGCAAAAAGGAACCATGGTGTTTTACCAGATTAGGGCTGAATGATTTGGTGAAAATAGCAAATTTAATAGCAATAAGCAACCATTACTTATATTGTGTGTCAGAATGTCTGTTCACGAGCTCTACGTTATTAAAGGCGAAATGCACAAATTTTTCAGTTTCTCCATAATTTGGTCATGGAGAACATTCAAGACATTCAGAGTGGTCTGATATGAAATGGTTAATTGTAGAGAAATATTGAATTTTTTACAGTCGTGGTGATAGGAACCAGGAGCCACAACGTTATAATGTGAGTGTAGGCATTTTACTTACTGTTCAAAACAATCAGTCAACTTACACGTCTTCTGATTTGTATGCCATGTCGAAAATAGTAAAATAGTGACAAATCTGAAAAATGTTTTATTTAGGTATTACTATTTTGCCTTACAAACACCCTGCATACACCTCTCTGCCACCAACGGATTTTTAAAAAAAAGGCTAAAAACTTCTCAAAACTATCGTAAAACAATGTCTTCAGCATCTGGCAGTGTATTCGTAAACATTTCACAGAGGAACGACATTAAATGCTTCAGGCATCTGGTTCCTATCACCACCACTATGAAAAAATTCTGACTAAGCAAGTTTCTCTACAACGGAGTATTTCATATAAAAGCCCTCCAAAAGACTTTATTTACATGTTAACCGTTCAATAATGCAGACACTTTCAAAAATCAGTGGAATTCTCCATTTAGGCCAAAGCACACTGACCAGACGAACAAGACCAGACATTCTGATGTGTGACGTTGCCCTTAGAATTTCTAGACGAAGAACTGACATGCTAAATAAGGGGGAGTGAACAGGAGAGAACAATCTAGAGTTGTTCACCAAATTAAACTCAGGTTTGGCACAACAATCGTTTGTGTTTTCTGTTTCATGAAAATGGCATCATTTTAAATTTCGACCTTAAAATAAAAATAATTAAATTGTTCAGCTTATACCTGATCCATACAGACATTCTTATCAGCATTAGCCACAAGATAATATTTTAGTCTCAAACTGACATGCAAGCTACAATATAGCAATATCAGACACAATGTATTGTTACACCCATCCATGTTACACCACTGGCAGAAGTGTTAGGAAACCAGCACACAATCAGCATTCATTTAATACATCAATATCAAAGAAGACCTATATCTTTGCATGGCAATAATCTACTGTGTGCTGTTTATCACTGAACATAACATAACAGCACAAGCTAGGCTAAAGCAAGCTTGTTTTACAGCAGAAACCATAGGCCAGGGAGTGCAGGAGAGAGGAGGGAAAGAAATGAGAAAGAAAAGAGGGAGAAAGAGCAGAGTGGACACTGGCCAGAGCACAGTTTGGGGACTGGAAAACTGCATGGTCCTGGAGAAGCAGGGCAGAACTTTGGGTTAGAGAGCAGGAGAGAACGGAACAAACATGGAGACTGCTCTAACTCACAGGGTTTAATGGTGTGTAAAAAATGGAAGACGATAACGGAAAAAGGAGCAACAGAAACATGACAGCAAGGGAGATAAAGAGTGATGAACAAAGGAAAATATCTAAGGAAACACACTGTTTAGCTCAAGCAGGATGAGATAAACCTGGAATTTTGGACAGGTCATGAAACAGCAAAGCACCACACAAGAAAATAAGTGCAGCAAATTCTTAATGCGACAAAAAAACAGTATAACGAAGCTTGATGATGATGATGATGATGATGATGGCCTACCAGGGAAAAATGTGCCCTCAGTAGATGGTGCTATCTAGGATGTAACAATAGCACTCATTTTTCCTCAATACTGATATCAAAAGCTTGAGTATCAGCTGATATCGATACTGATACAATGTTTCGCTTTTTTTGGTTGAAGCACTTAATGTAAAATGAGAATCTATATGTAGACCATCACGCTCAAACTAGTCAAAAGACCCTACTATCCAAGATAATCGGGGCCAGATGATCTCTTAACCAGTATGTCTGGGGACAACCTTGAGAAATTTTGAGCTGAACGTGGGTGGGAACATAGACTTCTCAGGGTGGGAACAAACTGAGAGGGAAATTGCCAAACCAATCCAAGTTCAAAGCATGGACTAAATGAATTTGAGGCTGGGTTTAGAGGGCACTACAATCCCCTCTGTATAAAAAGTTTAAAACGTCACCCCAGACATGTCTTCTCATTACGAGAACATGTCTGTCCCTGTGAGACTATCCTACATGAAGAAATACACAGCCAACAGTGCTATTGTTGTTCTAAAGTGCTAAATTGGATCAAATTTTTTCTTCTATCAGCAAGATACCTATACCCACCGACACAGGCATGTCGTCTCTATTTATAAGACAAATATGGCTTCTCTCAGCAAACTCTGATTGGAAACTCAAGCCTGAGTAGCCCCAAAGGAGTAAGATGGCAAAATATCAAAGTTACACAATTTTCCCTCTTAGCCCAAATGTAATCGGTCAGCCAAGACACGTTTGGTGTCCCAAGTTTGCTTCTTTAACTTTTGCACTGGAGCTACGAGACACAAAAGTAAAAATGGCATTCTGACTTCAGATGATTACTACAACTGATTTCAGCTAAATATCATACCAGTTTGTAGACACAGTATGCTGTATGCTGTCAGAAACCACATCAGCAAGTCTATTTGACATAATTTAAGTGTGTGAGACTTAAATGAGCTTCCATTACTTGTGAACCTTTAAAAGGCAAGTGTGAAAAAGTGATGTGTGTGACATTTCCCACTTTCTCACCGGCGGCCTCATCCAGCGCACACCATGCGTCTTGGAGGAGCGTGGTCCCAGCTCATTATAACCCAGGGAGGAGGCAGAGGCTGGGAAGTAACTGTCCTCAAACAGCGTCCTGCTCTGCAGACACTGCGCCTTCAGCATCTCGTAGTCCTGCCCCAGAAACTTGACTGCTTTGTGGTTCTGCCCCAAGCCATCGTCCCGGTCCCACTGACTGCGCAGCTTGGCTGCCATCCCTGTAGCGTAAATGGGCTCCATGTCTCCCCACTGCGCTGATCTGCCCGGCAACAGAGAGTTAACTGCTCGCAACAAGGGGGCGGGGCAAAGTTAAGCCAGTAAGGATTCAAAAGGCCCGGTGGCTAATTAGTGCATGTAAATCCACTAGTGCTGAATGAGGAAGAGGGACTGTAATCTTTACTCATGTGGCAGAAAGTGAGTCTGGTCCCAAAGCTCCTGAAAAAAAAGAGGAAAAGGAGAGTGTTACATTTACACTGGGACGCTTATTATATCGGTAATCTATAAATTAATGTTGACTGAGTAATCCTATATTTAATACAAGGCCAGACAGTAAAAAAACACTTTGAAGGACAATGATTTTTTAAATTTTATGCATAATTCACTTGTTGGAATGTAAACAGTTATTCAGCGTGTTTTTATGTGAAATGGTAAAATTGTAGACTTTTGCAGAAACTCAGATTTCCTCTACAGTGGTGGCGATAAGAACCAGCAGTCATAATACAGTACAAATAAAGCCATTATTTACCATCCAAACCACCAGCGAACCTAAACGTGTCTGAGTTTTTATATGTAATGTTGATGAAAAAACCCGTGGTAAATCTGAAAAAATATGTTTTCTTTGGAGACCATTCTGCCCGTAACACCCTGCATGCACCTCTCTACAATGAATAGTTTAAAAAAAATAATAAAAATAGAACGAAATTTTGTCTCAATAATAACATAAAACAATGTCTCAAGCATCAGACAGCACATGTGTAATAACTTTCTGTAAGGGAGCTTTGAGCTTTTGGAGGTAATAAACCTTTTAGGCGCCTGGTTCCTATCACCACCACTGTGAACAACTCTTCTTTCTTTAGAACAAAGCATTTCATATCAAACCACCCTGAATGACTTTGTTTAGGTCTTTTCATCTAATTAGGTAGAAAGTTTGGAAAATTGGTGGAATTTCTCAATAACTGAACAATAACCATCCATGCAGGGTCTTACAAAATGTTTAACTGGGGGGGGGGGCTAAGAACTCTTTCAAAAACCTATGAACCATCTAGAATGTAATCAAATCTTCAAGTCAAAATAATAAGTAAAGAGAACTCAATAAAACAAAACTCATACAATTCTACACCTTTTTTTTTTTACACATTTTGAACAAAGTGATCCAACAATAAATGTCTTTGTTAGAAAAAAGTATGTAAACCTCTGCTTTCAGTAACTGGTATGACCCCTTAGGCAGCACTGACTTCAACCAAATTAATCAAGTAACTCTTCAGAACAGTCCTGCATACCGTCTTGGTGGGATTTTCCTCCCAAAAAAACTGCTTCTACTGTTTTCTCCTGCAGAGTTTGTTGATACAATCTAGAATTTGTACTATTATCTAGGCAGCAAATAGCAGTAAAACAGTCCCAATGATACTGCCACCACCATGTTTCACAGTTGCTATCAAGCTCTTATGCTAGAATGCAGTGTTCAGCTATTGCCAAACATGTTTATCATTTCAGCCAAAAAGTTCTGTTTTGGACTCATTCTTCCACTTGTCATTCACTTGAAGGATTACAATAATGGTAAAATTTCTCCACCTGTAGACTATCTGCCTAACAGTGGATTGGCGCAAACTCTAGTTGTTTTGTAACATCTTCAAGGTTGGTGAGCATCAACAACTCTTTTTCTGACGTTCTCAAAAATCTCCTTCAACCAAGGCATGGCATACGCTTACAAATGTCAGTGGCAAAAACCAGACTCTGATAGTGAAGACTTAAGTTGGTGTTTCTGAAATGGGACAGGGCCACCCAAACTCACACTTCTAAGTTCCATTTGGTTGAACCTTCTGACTCTAATTTTCCCATGTACTGAACAGATAATAATGTATTCCTAGAGGTTCACACACTTTTTCCAACACAAGCATTTATTACTGGATCCTTATGACCAGTAAATGAATGAAAAAGTATATACTTAAGTGTTTCACTGGTTCTCTTATTTTCTATCTTTAACACTAAAACGAAGATCTGATCATGTTTTAGATCAAATGTATGCAGAAATTCACAGAAATCTAAAGAATTCACAAACTTTCTAGCACCACTGTATATATAAAACACAATAATGCAAAAAAGCATATAGATAGGCATCTCCATCAGTTTATTTTCCCTCCATTGATTTTTGATGGAGTAATTGTGACAAGTTACCATATGCTAATTTGTCCAAAGGCCTAAGAACCACCAAATCATACAAACAAAATTTCACAAAACATTTCTGCAAGAATGCAGCTTCACAGATGATACTATCTCAGAGCAAATATATCTATGCATTTTACACACATCATTTGCCTGTTCTATCTATATGCACATCATATTACGTTGTTTTTTGTTATTTGCCTACACAGAACATTGCAATTCTACAGCTTATTGCAAAATGTGTAGCAATGTGACAGTATAAACAGAGAAGACCAAAATATAAGAAACAAGCTGTCATACACTGGTGCTGGATTAAAGTGAAAAAGAAAGGCTCGGTGCCGTAACATAGCAACCACAGACAGTTGAGCAAACTTTCAAGCATGTGTCTTTGATTTTGTGAAGTCCCTCCTTTCCATGCCGCAGTGTGCTTTGCCCACTTCACCTTTCTTCTACAAACAGGCTCTGCCATTTGGGTCAGTTTATGAAAGTGCCATCTGGTCAGGTCAACAACCAAGTGGCCTGCATTTCCTTTACACTCTCATTAAACATCCAGTCATACTAGCTGTTTCAGACAACAAACCTTTGTACTGTTTCTCACTATAGTCACTCTTTGCACAATTATTGCAGCTGTGAGTCACAAAATAACACACAGTATAACTGCGGGTTTGCCAAACCACCCTCGATAAGAAAGGGCCGGCTCTTGCCTTTGGAGGGCCCTAAGCAGGACTTTTTTTTTTGGGGGGGGGCTCCATCTCGCTAGCTGATGCACAGTAAAATCAGAGGCTAACTAATAACAATGACTACCATAAGCTGTCTAATTTATATACATTTATAACTGACTAATTTGTGTATTGCTGATAATTGGATACTCTTTCAGGGTGCTAATAAGTTACACTTTAAATTACAGACAACTTTCTCAGCATTCTCACTCTGTCTCACAACGCAGTAGCTAACCTTGAGCTTAGTTCAATCTAACTCTGGTGGCAGTTGCGACAGCGATGCATTTTTACTGTTATAAATGCTTTACTTTCTACATGTTTCGGTAGTATGATTTTTCTTTCCTTGGCAACTGCTCGTGTTTCATGCCATCGGCTGTTCTTCATAAACGTCACACTTTCATGTGCACATGCACGAGGAATAATCACAGTCAGAGTATCTAAATCTGAATTAATCACAGCCTGAGTATCTAAACCTGAAGCTGTTAACCGCTGTTGTAAAATTAGTTAACTGCGTGTTTGTTAGGTTTTGTGAAGCTGAAAGTCAGTCAGAAAGGCTGTCTAATCTCAATCCGCTTCGTTAGACCACAGATCCATTGCTTCTTCTTGTCCAACTACAAGCCAAAATAAATGGCATAACATAAGTATTTCTCCTCATTTTCTCTTTTTTTTTTTTTTAAAACGTACTTTTTTGAAACATGATTACCAGTTGCCCCCCCTTCACTCAAGCATCTTACACAACATAACAGTACTGGGGGCCCTAATTAGCTGCTTATGTCGCTTATTGGGTAGAGCCAGCACTGCGATAAGTTGATGCGGTTACAGTTAAAGGAATACTCCACCTGGCACATTTGTAATCTTACAGTTGAGTACTGTGAACAATAATTTTGAGGTGTTTCTTAGCACTTAGTAAAAGAACATAAATTCTGACTCAATAGACAATTATAATAGAAGTCAAAGGGCAAATCCTTTAGTACCTTCCCACTATTACATGCACACTTCCCTTTACTTTCTATGTATATGCAAGTTATTGTCCATGTTCAGTCATACGTTACAGATACAGCAGGTAGACTTCAAGTTTAAAAAACGATGAGAGGTTTCCTTTAAGAATTGTTCCAGCGTGGGAGCGGATTATTACTCAAAGGAAAATCTTTTTTGTCTTCAACCAAACCTGTTTTCTTCATCCCCCCCTTTTCTTTGTCTAGGTCCATCTTGTGGAACCTCAGACCTGTGCTGTGGACTGATTAGTGACTATTCAAACTGTGCTGAGCTCCTCTCTCACATACTCGCAATGTGAAACAGCTGAAGCAGCTGCGAGGGTGTGGTGCTTTAGTGCTCGCATGGAAACTTATTGCAGTGGACAGCAGCCAAAAGGATACGGCAGCATATGAGTGAGTCTGTGTGTGTGTGTGTGTGTGTGTGTGCTTGCAGCGAGTGTTCTGTAGTGTGTGTTTGCATAAAGGCTTTGCATGAGAAGCCGATAACTACCAACTCGCTGAGGTTTGGCTACTAATTCACCATGGTTGTAATTTAGCGTTCTTACTTTCATATTATTCTCTATTACTCAATCTCCTTTCTCACTCTCTCTCTCTGCTTCCTATAATCCTTTTCTACCCCTTGGATCTCATTGGCTAAAGCCAAACAGCAGTTTTAGACCACAGCCCACAACTACACTCACTACAGAAGAATTACAGTTAGATGGAAACTTCAAACAGCAACTGAAAACAATTCACTGCACTACAGTCTTTCATTAAACATGATTATTTCAGCCACAAGATTATTATATATTTTGTGTTCATTTTTAAGTCAAATTTCATATTTAAAAGAATTAATAAATGTGACTGTTCTTTCCTTGATTCAAAAATCTAAATATCTGAAGAATATATGCTTATATCTTACAGGCTTATGCTACACAGATACTTAAAAAAATACTAATGTGCAATAAAACAGGTTTGTTCCTAAATGAATAAATATGAAACCATTGTGATTCTAATACAGAGTAAAATAAATGTGGTCAGAGCCTCTCGGTCGATAAGCAGCAGTGCACAATGAGAAGAGATAAATACTGAATGCAAGGCTGACACTGTGGATCATATCAGTAATAGTGTATTCAACCGAATAGCTTAACAATTGACATTAATGTGAATCTGAGATGATACTGCATTTCACTTCGGTATTGTGACGTATGGGAGTGAAACAGTGTATCAGGGAGGGTCGGTGAGCTAGCTGAGTGTTTTTTCTCTATGATAGGTGGGGGTGGAGGGTGAAGGAGGTGAAACATGATCGCTGGTGCACAGTGCTGTAATCAAAACTCAGAAGACGGTTTAGAACCAGGCAAAAGACTTTGCATGTTGATGAAAGGTTATGGGAACATAGGAATTTTGTCTTTCAAAGGGCTTTCCTTATCATGGAAAGCCTCAATTACCTTCCTTTTTAAAATACAATAAGAGTTCTATGTAGTTTGTAAACAGTTTGTAAAGTTTCAAAATGTTCCATTCACTACCTTCTACATGCAGTCATTTTGTGCTGCAAAAACAACCCATTTGAATGTACCGTTTATTATTTCACAAAAACCATCAAATGCACATATATCTGCCTATTAGGCCTATAGTAATTTAGCTCCGCCCGTTCAAACTGAAGTTATAAGGAGTGTTTCAGCCCAAGCTGCATCTTAAATGAGCCACAATACTGGGAAGCCAATCGGAACAGAGGTCATTTACATTTCAGTTTTAGCAGTACATTAACAAAAACATTGAAAGTTTAAAAAACAGTCATTTAAAAATGAATTATGTTTGTTTTTGGTAGATAAAATTACAGAAACATTATAACTGGACTTCTGTTTCTAAGAAAAATGTAGGACAAGGGATCTTTAAATGAGTGACGTATCATGCTTTACATGACCAAGAAAATGAGTCAACAAGGTAAAACCAAAGGCTCATTTTGATTCCAGGAAACTCCCATAATCAGAGTTCTTTTTATTTTAAAGCCAAAAATGTAAAATGAAGTTAACTGAACAGTATATTAAAAAATAATTTACTAAGACTTTAACTTCACAAAATAATAACAATTAGCAACAAAAAAGCATATAAAAGGCTGTGTACATAAGGCTCTGCTTCTTACTATAAAACCATTAGGAGAATTTAACTGAAAATCATTACAGATCGGTGGAAAAAAAAATACATTTCAGTTGATTAATTTCAAATTGATTATTTTTACACTGAGTATTATTTAATTTATATATATATATATATATATATATATATATAGCCTGAACTGAATGTGCCCCTGGTGAGGTCTTTTTCCATTCACCACTACACTGCTAACACTAGACACAGAGAGCAAGTTCAGATGAATCACACGACCACAAACTACACGCACAAGGCGGGAGCAACACACTTGCACAGTACATACACTTGTACTCAATACATACATGACTGTTCCCTTAAATGCTAAGGTGGCTAGATACAGTGTGCAATACAAACCATCAGCCAAAATAAGACAGTTTACTAGTCTAAAGTGTAAGCAGTCTGATCACAGTTTGTTTATTCAGGTTTAGCCTTTAGTCTCCATGAAGCAACCAGGCAGGTATGCACTGTGTTATTTACAGTGTACAGCAGAGAGTAAGTGATACGTTATTATTTACCATAATCAGTGCAACATTAAAAGTAACAATTGGACACATGACAGGCCTGCATCTTGGCATGTGCCAAAAATAAATAAGGGTTTTCAGTTCAACAACTGTTCTGTCAAACCTACCACCACAGGCTTCATGTACATGTGTACACACACAGCAATCAGTGCCGTTATAAGATCAGATCGTGTTTCCTGGGCTGCAGGTATGCGGTTAATGTTTACTTCTGGGTGTGGCCGCTATGTGATGAACTACACTAAACACCCAGAAGTTTGTAGACATCTGCTTATCCAGTGTTTCTTCAAGGAAATTAACAGGGACTTGCCCCCTTTTTGCTGCAGGAGCGGCCTCTACTCTTCTAGGAAGGCCTTACACTAGCTGTTGGAAAGTTGCTCTGAAGATTTTATTGAACTCAACTGATTGAAGAGCTTTAGTGAGGTCAGGCACTGATGTTGGATAACTAGTTCTGTACCACTCCAACGTACTGGATGGAGCTCCATCACTCCAGAGAATGCAGTTCCACTTCCTCACAGTCAAATGCTGGGGGGCTCTGAACCCCTCTAGCTGACACCTGTCATGTGTGGGTGGCCTAAAACCACATGATGTAAAGAGATACTTCAAATGAAATAATGACCCCAACAAAAGTAGCTACTTGAGAAGGAGTAAACAAAGTATCACAGCAAAGTACTGTTTCCTATGGAGCTGCAGTGGAACTTCCTTCAAGCATCAGTACAAAATATGAAGTTTTTCAGGCTCTGTTCCTCTCTTTTTGGAATACTTTTGCTCAATGATAAAGCTGCAAAGTGAGAGGTGTCAGCAACAGCAATGCAGAACAAAATGAAATTACCCCTCCCCACCACTCCTGTCCAAAAAAGCAGCTGGGAACTAAACATGATGATCTAAAATGGAAGAGGGTAGACATATTATTCCTTTTCTCACAAATATATTTAGAAGAAAATGCTCAGAAAAGCACAAATCCACCACCATTGTTCTCAAGAATATGGAACTGATTAAAAAGATCCAGTTACCCTGAGCCCTAACTACTTCTCATACTCACTAGCAAAAAAAAGACAAGTGCATATCCCATAACATGGAATGCCCCAAACAGAAGCAGCTAGAGGAAGTTTTACTTTTTCTGAGCTGGAATCAAACCCAGCTTTAAGATGCAGTTACTCAGACCCCATTCTGGTCAATTAAATCAAAACAATAGGTTACAACTAAGTACTACAACTAAGGCGCTGTCGCCTCACAACAAGAAGGACCAGGGTCTTCTCTACGTGGAGTCTGCATGAGTTTCCTCCCACAGTCCAAAGGCAAACTGGACACGCGAAACTGCCCCTCGGTGTGAATGTGTGTGTGATTGTATATGTCTGTGTGCCTCCTCTGCGATGGACTGGCGACCTGTCTGGGGTGCTTCCTGCCTTCCGCCCAATGACTGCTGGGATAGGCTCCAACACCCCCCACGACCCAGAAGAATAAGCGGCTTAAATAATGTAAATTATAGTTCTATTAGTTGCTAAGTACATAACTGTTTTTTTTTTTGGTAAAGGTACTTCTACTTTATTTTACCAAAGCAGCAGTAGGCTACTTTTAGAGCATACACTTAGGTTACTTTACTCTACACATTAATCGATGCAAGATTAAAGCTGCATGCAAATCCACATACTACTGTACTACACAAGCTGTACTAATGAATGCACTTCTAATGATAGTGTACTATTTTTGACATACTATTTGGTATGGATGTGCAATTTCACAATATTTTATAGTAGCATGATAAATTACATCAAAATATGCTTTTCTGAGCATGTCATGGATATCATCAGTACTTCAAGGACACTGGAGAACTGCATGTTTCAACAAAACATAGCATAATTAGGCATGGTCAATTGGATTTAGTGCAGTGCATGTGAAACAAAAATAAAAATAGTGTGAATAAAAATCATTGTGTCCATAGTTTTTGACAGCATTTTTAAAATGCTGTGACATTCTGTCTGTTTCAACATGACAAAAATATTGTGATGTGTATTACGCATATGTCAAGTATTGTGATGCTGCCATAATCACACATCCCTAGTGCATAGAAAGAAACCTAGAATGCGGTTATTGAAGCAGCCCAAGTTTCCCAATTTGCTGCAGCAAAGCTGACCAGCAGCACATGTGGTTCTTTTGGCTCACACGCCACATTGTTCTAGTTCTGATTAGGAAAACTCATACAGGCTGCTCACTTCCTACTACCCCGAGAGCCATAAAACAAGAGCGATGCCTGGTGAAGATTGTCACAATGTCTGAAGAGGTCGCAACGTTATGGCAGCACAGAATGTAAATAAGGGTGGTGCCACAATTAACATGTTTGTATTGTGATGCCAATTATGCCACCAAGACATGGCCAGTTGGAAAGGCTGGCAATGCTGGGGATTCATGTATAAGAAGAGTGTGAATATCGCTCACAGTCAGGCGTGCTGAACAGAGATAAGCAATTTCGATGGAATGCGGCCTAATGTCGTACTATAAACGGGCTCCAACCAAAGCAACGTTTTCTTCACTTCCTTTTCAAAGCCTTTCACAAATCGACAGCAGCAGCAGCACCCAGCCTTACAGACTCATTTAAAGGCCACCAAATCTCCTCACAGACTGTTTCTGGACTAAATAAGAGACTAAAGGAAAATAATAACACATCGATATTGGAGAAACAACGTCAGCTAGTTATAACGTTATAGCTTCCGAAAAAAAGTCTGGACAAAGTACGAAGCTGAAGTCAGAATCTTATTCAAGTTTCCCGTTCCACCTTAAATGGTGCAGCGCCAGACGGTAACTGCTGCACCATTTAAGGTGGAACGGGAAAATCCGAACAAGAAGCTGGCGAGTAAGAAGACAACTTCAGCCTCGTGGACAAAGTCATGTTTAAGGTTAGAAGGACAAAAAGTTAGACCAGAATAGTCAAATTTACTCCGTATGTACTAAAAACACAGGGCAACGCTACTTTCACGAGTAACTGTCGGTTAGCTAGGTTAATTAGCCTGCTCTCTCTAGAAACAACAGAAACGTGACTCCCTGTTTGGAAAGTTTATTAAAAAAACGGAAACCGATAAACAGTAAGTTAGATGAGCTGCTCACCTGTTAGCCCGCCTTGCTCTTCGGTGAATTCAGGGCGTGTTTATAAAAGTATTCCGTCCCTTTACAGTCCCATCTGCAGACTCTGCACTGAAGCTTCCCAGAGATTTGCCACCTTCAGAGAAGTGTTGTGTCCCCCACCCGTGTTCAGAGTAGCCCCGCCCCCTGCGCTATGATTGGCTGGTAGTTCGTCCGCACCAGAGCCGTATAGAAAGACCTGTATTATATATATAAATATAATAATCTCTCTATACGGCTCTGGTCCGCACAAGCAGTCAACCAATCATCACAGCTGTATTATTCAGAAAATGTAATCTAGGGATGGGCGATAGCGCTAATATCCCGATACCAATACTTTTGAGCTTTCTTGTGAGCGTAAAAGCAGAAATTATTTGTGATTTTTACAGTGACAAGCGGTAAATATGGACATTTAAGAATATATTTAAAGGCTTTTGTATTAATATTTGATAAACTGCCACATAGATTGACTGCTTAGTGCTGTGCTTCTTCATGGTCTTGTCAGGTAAATGTCCACGTGTGTCCCATTTCTCAAAAGTGCAAAAACATATTGCGCAAAACACACACAGGCGTTGGCACATAGCAGGTTTACAGAAAATCCATGCAGGTTCAAGTCCCGAATGAACAAGCCAAGGGCGACAGTGGCAAGTAGGAACTCTCTGAAAGCAAGAAGAAAAAACTTTGAGAGGAACCAAGACTCCAAAAGGAGAAGCCATCATCCTCTGGCCAACACCAACAGCAAAACAATAACACAACAAGAGCAATATGAATAAAGAATTAGATTTTAAAATTAATATACAATATTGAATGTATGGAAAAGAAATTAGACCTGTCCACTGAGCCCACTGGGCAGTAGAATTTAGATTAACCAATGATTACTGATTAGTACTGTTAGAAACATTTCACAGTGAAAATAAGATCTAAAGTAATGATAACCAATGAATCATTCGGTTTCCTCTTCCCGTTCACATCAGAATTATGTATGAGAGTACTGCAGACAAACAATTCCTTAAAAACAGTGCCATCTTATGGCTTAATGCCACCAATGCACAGTCATACAATTGTATGTGATATGATTTAATGCAGGGGTGTCAGCTGTGGTGCTGGTGGGCCCCAGTTTAAAACAGTCTTGTGATTTCTCAGCTCAGTAATACCTGATTCCCCTTACTGGAAAGTTTACCATGGCATGAATAGGATAACAATTTACAAACATTTGAAAAATACCCATTTAGACATTCTGTAATCTGACATAGCCCAAAAACAAAAACTGAAGGCAAGGAGTTACTGATTGTAAACATGTATTTAATAATTCATTTCAGCAGTACAGAAACACAAAAAGAATGGATGTAAAAGAGGAAAAATTCAAATAAATTCTAAAAATTACACCAGGAGTGGAGTAGACCTGTAGGCCCTTTTCAGTCTGCTCTCTCTATACAAATTAAATGTAAGCCAAATTAACACAAAAAACACACCCTTCAAAACAAAAAAAATGCAGCCTAGCAAACAGTTATGGTGAAACTGTAAATACAGCAGAGAAGTCTGATTTCCCATTCAGTTAGCAAAATTTGCTTTCCCTAGGTCTGTTCTGGCCCAGTATGCTGTTGGGTCCTCGACCCAGATCGGCCCAAATCTAGCCCAAATACATTGTTGGCTCAAAACACACCAGAATTGGCTCACAAATGTAGACGTGAGGCAAAACCATATAACGCTGCCCGGTATCTGGCTCTATGGTTGCCCCCATGCCTGACATCTTCCCAGTAGTCAAACAACAGTTGTGTATGAATCTGGACAGCCTGCTATCTGGACAGCCTCAGTCTGAACAGGCCAAAAGTGACAATGGCAAGAAAAATTTCCCAAATGATGTTTTCAAGCTCAAAAAAGAGACCTCCTTAGGGTGACATCAGAAAAATATGTATTATATATATATTGTTTCCAAAACAGTTGGAACGCTGTGCAAAATGTAAATAAAAACAGAATGCAGTGATGTGTAAATCAGTTAAACCCTATATTTAATTGAAAATAGTACAAAGCTAAAATATCATATACTGAAGGTGAAAAATTTTATTTATTTTTTTTTTTTTAATATATACCCCTCTTGAATTTGATGCCAGCAACACATTTCAAAAAAGTTGGGACGGGCAACAAAAGTCTGGTAAAGTTGTGAAATGCCAAAAAAACCTGGCGTTTAATTAGCAACAGGTTAGTATTATGTTTGGGTATAAAAAGAACATCCCAGAGAGGCTCAGAAGTAAAGATGAGGAGGGGTTCACCACTCTGTGAAAGACTGCACAGGCAAATGTGCAACAATCCAAGAATAACATTTAACATTTTCAGCATAAAGTAACAAATAACTTGGGGATTTCATCATCAACGGTACATAACATGAAAAGATTTAGAGAATCCAGAGAAATCTTTGTATGCAAGGGACAAGGCCAATACTGGATGGCCATGATCTTCAGGCCATCAGGCAGGACAGCATTAAAGACAGACATGATTCTGTAGTGGAAATGTTTGTAAACTGCATGGGCTCAGGAACACTTCTGAAAACCAGTGTCTGTGAACACAGTCCATCGCTGCATTCACAAATGCAGGTCTCTACCATGCAAAGAAGTAGCCATAAATAAACAGGATCCAGAAATGCTGCCACATTCTCTGGGCCCCAAGTTCATTTAAGATGGATTGAGGGGAAGTGGAAAAGTGTCCTGTGGTCTGTTGAATCAAATTTGAAATTCTTTTTGGAACTCATGGACACTGTGTCCTCTGGGTTAAAGACCACTCAGCTTGTTATCAGTGCACAGTTCAAAAGCCAGCATCCATGATGATATAGGGGTGCATTAGTGCACATGTCATGGGTGACTTGCACATCTGTGAATGCTGAATGATGTGTACAGGTTGTGGAGCAACATAGGCTGCCATGCAGACAACATCTTATTCAGGGAAGGCCTTGATTATTTCAGCAAGCCAATGCCAAATCACATTCTTCATGTATTATAACAGCATTGCTCCATAATAAAAGAGTCTGAGTGCTAATTTGTCACCATTGAAACATTTGGCACATCATGAGAAAAAAAAGAATAATACAAAGGAGACCCCAAACTGCTGAGCAGCTGAAACCCTACATCAAGAAATAGGAAGAGCAGGAAAATGTTTCACTTTGAAAGCTCCAGCAGTTGGTCTCCTAAGTTCACAAACGCTTACAGAGTGTCGTTTAAAGAAAAGGTGATGAAACACAGTGGTAAACAAGCCCCTGTTCTAACTTTTTTGGAATGTGTTGCTGGCATCAAATTCCAAAATAGGCAAATATATTTTTCAAAAAACAATAAAATTTTCCAGTTTCAACATTTAATATGTTGTCTTTGTTGCATTTTCAGTTAAATATAGAGTTTAAATGATTTGCATATCATTGCATTCTATTTTATTTACATTTTGCACAGCGTCCCAACGTTTTTTGGAAACGGGGCTGTGTGTGTCTGTGTTAATTATGAAGGTAATTCCACAGGAGGGAACTTATTAGTGAATTATCAGGGTTAGTAGGGCTGTTTGACTAGGGAAATAATGAAAGTTTACTGGACACCCTCAATTTACTGCATGTGTGTATTGTCACCTCAGACTAAAAAGTACAAACAGAGTCGGTCATACGTTTTCTGTCTAACATCACTGCAAATGCAGCTGACCAGAACAAAACTCACACAAATGCGATCTGATCACTTGCAAATAACATTGCAAAAACAGTTCCGATTTGCGAAACAAACCCATAACACTAATATACGTACTAAAACTCTTTAAGCTTATTCATATTTAACTCTTCATAGTGATGCTACATACACATGTTTAATTATGTGTACTAAGAGTACGGAGAACGCAAGTACGCTAATGGGAACACGGCCTTTAAATCTTGGCGCATTTAGAGTTCACGAACTTCTTGCGCAGCTGCGCTGATCTCCAAATCATCACAACCACATAACATGCGTGTTCATGATGCACAGATCGCAGAAACGCTGCGGCGCGCCTACGGGCTTTATTCGAACGCGCATGCGCAGTTTCCCCTCCGTCGTGTCTGCGGCCCTGCTGCTGTTGAACGCGGTTGTGTGAAGATGTCTGCTGACGGACCGCCAGGAGCCGAAAACAGCCCGGATTTGGGCGCCTCGGCGGTGGCACTGAACACATGGAGCCTCGCCGAGTTACAAGCCAAACTGGCGGAGATCGGGGCACCGGTTATGGGTGAGCAAAACCACGTCTGGTTTAGCAAAACAACGCAGCGTGTCCCCGGTTAATTCAGCTAAGCTAAGCTAAGCTAGGCTAAGCTCATGGAAAGCCGTTAGCAGACATGCTAGCCAGGCTGCTAACTGCCGTTCATGTCTGTAAGTTAGCTCAAAACGCCTAATTTACCGAACTATTTTCCGAATTTGCGGCGTATATGCAAACTTTTTGTTATTAATATTTTCTTAATATATTTACGTTATTGCTTCGCTCATGGTGAAGACGCCGTTGTAACGTAAGGTGTTGTAACGAATGAATAAAGCTGGTTGTGATCGTGTTAGCTAACTAGCTACGTTAGCTAACGTTACCTGCGCTGCTGCTGCTACTACATGCTCTACATTAATTTATGTGTTGGTAACAGTTTAATTTCAAATCGAGGTCGAAAAACATACACACATGTGTCGTGTTGCAGAACAACCATTTATTTTCTTTCTGAAACACGGGTGTTCGCTTTTATCTGTGGTTAATACAGTGATTGTTTTCCTCTTCCCATAGGCCCGAGAGAAGAGTTAATAGACAGGTTGAAAACTTACATGATGCAGGTAACTCAATTCATACACCACTAAAGTGAAGTTCCACCGATTTTTCTAAATTTCTTCATGATTAACTATTTAAAATATAAACAAATTCATTCATCTGTTGGTTTGATGTGAAATGCCTTTTTTTTTTTAGATAAATTTAGAGTAGTTTAAGGTGGTGGTGATAGGGACCAGATATCCGAAGGGCTTAATTGGCTCTAAAAGCTATCTCAACGGAAAGTTTTACACAAAATCTTTACGTATACATTGCCTGATACCTGCAACAGTGTTTGGCAAAGTTTTTAGAAAAGATTTTGTCCTAAAACATGTTTTACAGTCAGAGTAAACCTTTTAGAGAGGTGCATGCAGGGCACTATAAAGCAAAATATTAATTTCATATCGAAACACTTAAAGACTTACTTACACAGAATTTTTGGCAAAATATTGGTGGAATTCCCCTTTAACATGAACAAATCATTCTTCAATATTTCGCACTGAGTACAAGTTTGTTTGTTTCCTGACTCCCACTCCCCAATCCTGAACTCTAACATTCCCAGGGACTGTTATGCACCCATCACTTTCTGTTACGCACTCATCACTTTAACTGCTCCTTAAGCTCATTCTAATTGCACTACTGTTTATAATTGCACCATTTATTCCCACAGACCTTAATCTGTATGTTCTTTATGTCACTTTATTGTTAAATTCAGGGACCTTCTTATATTTATATTACTTTTTTTATTCTATTTTTCTACTACGATTAGTGTTTATATAGTGTCTGTTCACACATTTCCTGTTTGCTGTCTGTTTAATGTTAACGCAGTTTCAATACTGTGTATGTCCTGTACATATTGTAGTATTGACAATAAAGCTGACTTGATTTGAATTGTTTCCTCAGACTGGGATTATTTTGAGTAAGCCCATCATCCCGGGTGGAGATAACAAGGCCATGGCCCCAGTAAGTGATCTTGCAGTTAACTCTGCAGCTTTTTCACTAAAGTGCAGAGAAAGAGGACCGGAGTTATTCTGTGGATTAGGTCTACAGTTTACAGTCTAAGCTAGGGATGTAATGGTACACAGAAGTCATGGTTCAGTTCATGCTGTGATTTGGACATCACAGTTCGGTACAAGTTTGGTGCAACAGGAAAAAAGCAACAGAAACCCCTAAATGCATAAGGCAAGGTTTCTTTTTCATTTGTTTTGAACAGACAGTAAGTAAAATAAAGTTACAGTTTGTTCCATGCAGTGCTGTGTAGTCCCACTCAGAGGTACTTGGTACAGTGTCATTTGCACTCACTGGGGGAAGTCAGTAACATTAACTAATACGTACAGTGATAGTTGAACTTCAGTTGTGGTTTTGTACTTAGGAACAGAGAAAACACCGAAAAAATTGCAAGGCTTTGTGCTGAATCTCTTCATGGGTGCAAAAATACTGCAAGATGTGGATACGAGAGAGTATCATACTTAATTTTCACTCTAAATTGACTCTCATTAATGAAACCAAATTACTGCATTTAGACCCTGGAGGGTTATCACAATGGAAAATTGAATGAATTTCTCCTGTTTTTTTGGGACCACCGTGAATTAGTGGTTCTCTGTTTTTGCATTAATATCTTTTCTCACTCTGTCAGATGTCGGGTCTTCCACCTATGCCACCGATGCCCTCTATGCCTCTGCCCCCGGGCATGGGCATGCTGCCACCAATGGGAATGATGGGCCCCCCTCCGCCTGGTATACACATTGGGATTGAACCCCCGGGTGTGCCCCCAGGCATACCACAGGATGACCAGCTGAAGATGGCTCAGCAGCGGGCTGCCATGATGATGCAGCAAGAGGAGACGGCCAATCAGGTACGAGCAAAGGAAGATTAGGGAGCATTATTCTCTTCACATTATATGATCTAGGAAATTGTACAGTGAAAATTTTTAGGCTGAATTTCCTTTAATGAGGCACTCTTCAATTATCAGAACACAACCAATGGACTAGCACCAAACAAAACTGGGTGTACATAACCACTGATTTTTCAGTCACTGATGTTTATGTGTATTTGATGTGACAGTTTTATTATGTTGTGCAGAGTTGATGGAAACACACTAATTCACATAATTGTTAGATATAAAGCATGTCGTGAACCTGGCTCTTAACTCACTCAGGTCCATGTTATTAGCACTCGGACGGCTTTTGGTGCTTCATAAGAGAAGCTCCTCATCACCGGTCCTGTGTGTCGACAGCTGAGCGAAAGCCTGACTAGTGAAATAATGATGAGTAGTTTGTATGATGATGAGTGTTTTGTAGTGTGCTTGGAATTAAACTCCTGACTAACATGAGCTAATCTTGCCTCTTATTAATATTTCATTTTAGAACTTGACAGTTTCACACTATAATTTGATATATTTCTAGGTATATGGATACTGTAACTGTTTGTTTGTTTGTTTGTTTTGTGTTTCAGGGTGACAGAGTCATGGAGGAGCAGCTGAAGGAGCAGGAGTTACTTGAGCAGCAGAAGAGGGTAAGAAATCCTGAAGGGAGCCTGAAATACAGCAGCTGTCACATACATGCTCATGGTATTGTATTAGTGTAGACTTTGCAACTTTGTTGCTCAGACTCTGTTGCTTTGTGTTGAATTCTGTGTTGTGATATGGTGATGTTTAGAAATTAGTTTTTTAAAGGCAGTGATGTGTTTGTGTGGTGTAATGTCCCTGTGTAATAAAGCAGTGAATCTTGCTGCTGTCACTCATTGTTTCCTGTCCTCCATCTCTAGGCTGCACAAATGCTAGAGCACGAGAGACAGCAGGAGCTGGCTAAGCTGGGAGGACCTCCCGGCACCAGGGGTCCAGAGCCAGGACCTGGACCCAACCTGTTGCCCCCTATTGCTCCACTCAGGCGTTAGTACCTGTTATACGATTCCATACTTAGTGTAGAGGTGATGCTATTCAATGTACCACATCTGGCAGCAGATACAATACTACCTCCAACCCGTCAGTCAGGGTAGTAGGCATACTGAACAAAAATATAACTGCAACACTTTTTACTGGAAAGGTTTTTGAAACCCAGCAAAAACAGGGTGGCTTTCGAGAATTTCTATGCAACATACTTCTAGGAATAAACCCTGAATGGGAGCAAATACAGAAGTGTTGCATTTATTCTTTTATTCAGCATGTTGTCGCTGTTGGATTAAAACCTCATTTCTCTGAAATCGGATATTTACAGTAGATGGAAAAAGCTTTCTTAACTTGTAATGCAAGTTAGTGTAATGAGATTTTATTTCACGTAATTTTGGACCATTTCTGTTGGTACGTTAATCATGAATTTTTTACACAATGTAAAGGACAATTGGAGTTCTCAAATTATGTAAAGGACAAAAATTGTGATACAAAGTTTGTCACAACAGCAAAAATATATTTCACCTCTTATTCTGCTTCTAAGTAGGTACAGCAGTGTGCCCCCAGTTATGACACACCTTGTATTGCCATTTTTGTAATGTGTCTAATGGACTGTCTGTGTAAACTGTGGACTTCAGTGTTGGATATGTTCCCTCGTCCATTGCATCTCAACTTTTCTCTTGTATTGCAGCCTTGACAACAAGTGGCCCACCCCCACCAGGCGTTTCCATGGTATCACAGACCAGTCAGAGGCAGAGAGTACCGCCACCACCTGGAGAGGATGCTAGAGAGGTAAGAACTGCCAAGGAGTTGCCTTTTATCTGAGGTAGGGCCACCTCTCTATACCCAAGTGTTTAACTAAACCAGTGATGAATGGGGGAGGACATCCTTCATTTCATTGAGAACACCACAAGATGCATATACATGGACGTAATGCCCAGATATTAGAAATAAAACTACTTGTACATACTTTAATGCTGTACTACTCAGAGATCAGTGTTTGCTATAAACATTGTGTTTTAGGGGGTATATAATTGGATATAACTTAATCACTCAACTAAATGGCTGTTGACTGTGTGTGTTTTGTGGACCAGATGTGGGCGAATGATGAGGTTGGCATTGGGCCAAAGATTCCGCAGGCTCTGGAGAAGATACTGCAGCTGAAGGAGATCAGACAGGAGCAGCTCACTATTGCCCCTACAGGTCAGAATGGGGGATCGCAACAAACTCAGCAAATACCAGTATTTAATGGGAGTTTGTGCTAACACTGTACTAACATTGTTTGATAAATCTTTAGAAGATGAAGAGGATGAGGGTGCAGAGGTGGAGATGAACTCTTCTCGTGCCTACTCTGACGATGAAGATGAAGGCGCGCTCTCTAAAAAAGATGTGAGTTTCTCCTCATTTTGTGATGTCCTTTTTTTACAGTACAATTACTCGAGCTGAACTAGTTTTCTCAGAATGAACTTTTTCTCTCTCTCTCCGTAATCTGCAGAGAAGCCGCAGGCGCAGGAACAGGAAGAAGAAGAACAAGAAGAAGAAGAATGAAGAGAAGCAAGAGGAAGAACGAAAGAAGGAGGCAGAAAAGGAGAAAGAGCCAGAAGTGGAGATAGAGTATGTCACAGAGGAGCCAGAGATCTATGACCCTAACTACATTTTCTTTAAGAGAATCTTCGAAGCTTTTAAGGTGAGTGTCACATTGAGACAAAGTAACTTTTTTTTTGGAGAAAGGTGAGAAGTACTCTTTCATGCACATATCTCAACCTAATTAAAAAAATATATAAAGGACCATTGACTTAGTCGCAGGAAAACATGACAGTATAGTTCAAATCAAACATCAGAAGAGCATACAAACTCTTATGAGAGATTACTCTAAGGATGTTTTGTTTCTTTGTCCACTTTGACAGCAGAATGTAGTTTATAAGGCTGCAGTTCAGTGCATGTTTAAGTATGTGTGCATGTAGTAAACTTTTAATTTATTTTATTACGCACTTGGTAGTGACTGTGACCTTTCACTTGGAATGACAGCTCAGTTACACTGTATGTGATGGGTAAACCTTCTTTGCGTTGTGAGTAACGTATTTCTTCTTACAGCTGACAGACGAGGTGAAAAAAGAGAAGGAGAAAGAGCCAGAAAAGGCAGAGAAGCAGGAAACCACCTTGCTTAGGAAGAAAGGATTTTTGGAGGAGAAGAAAGACAGCGATGACAGTGATGAGGTGAGCTGTGAATGTGGCTGGGTCTATCCAGTGTTTTTTATCCCCTTAAATCTAATATCTAATGTTTCAGACATAATACGATTCTGAGATTTCAGTGTTTTGTGTGTAAGTGTTGCTTCCACGGAATTATTGGGGTGGCCAGATCACCTCTCTGACAGAATGAGCCTCAGAAATAGAAAGTGTTTAAGTTGAGTCCAATCATTTAAATGTTCGTACATTACAGAGCACTTTATTCTTATAGGATAAATCCAGGTGTCTACTTTTGGTAACTGACGATGGTTTCCACAAAAGATGGTAAATGAGACACTGAAGAGACCAGGGCTGCATCAGCAATGGCTTCAAATGTCAACACGTTTTGACTGTACTGAAGTTGTTACACCCTTACTGTGTGGAATAAAAACCTCTTCTCTTCCTGCCTTTACAGGAAGTGAAGCCAGATGCACCAAAGCTGTCCAAGAAGAAGCTGAGAAGGATGAACCGACTGACTGTAGCAGAGCTCAAACAGGTTTTGTACCCACATACGTGCACACATTCTACAGTTACACACATCTAGAACCCCAAGAAAGCTTAGCATTTTCTTCTATGAAGCAGTGACCTCCTCCACCCTGTGCACTCATAGCTCCTACGGTCCTTGGCTGCTAACCTGTGCCTCTTCTTGCCCTCAGCTGGTAGCACGTCCAGATGTGGTGGAGATGCATGATGTGACGGCGCAGGAGCCCAAGCTGCTAGTGCACCTGAAAGCCACTAGGAACACTGTGCCTGTGCCCCGCCACTGGTGCTTCAAGAGGAAGTACTTGCAGGGCAAGAGAGGCATTGAGAAACCGCCCTTTGAGCTGCCTGAGTTTATCAAACGTACTGGCATCCAGGAAATGAGGGAAGCTCTGCAGGAGAAGGTGAACCACACGTTTACTTGATTACATAGTACAGGCTCCAATCTGTGCTAGTTATTAGATATATTTGTGTAGCTGCCAATGTGTTATTGCATCTGGGTTCTAGGTAAAAGATAAGGATAGAAAACTATTGTGAATTGAGTGTCTGGTGTAATTTGGTAGTTCATTAATCACTGACTTAGATTTTATTTATGTTATAACTTGGAATGTTAATTGTAAATATGGTGTGACACTATATGTGATTGTAAGTATATTGCATTGGTATTTGTAAGTATATTGTAGTTGTGACTCATATTTCTCCCTTTTAGGAACAACACAGTACACCCACAACCATTAAGGTCTTAAATTAGCACTGAAGGGAAATAATTAATTTGAAAGAGATGTTTATATATTTATTCGTATATTCTTTGTAACATTCCTTTTGGATCCAATTCTGGTCACCACGGTTTTAATGTGAATCTGACCCCAGCCAGAGAAAATTTTCAGTAATGGTCCTGACCAGAAATATAAGTTTTGAGACAAAATTTACCCAAAACAGCTCAAGTTATTTTTTTTATTATGGTTAAACTTTACATAATGAGCTGTGCAGTACTTGTATGTCCTTTGCCTGTTTAATCCTAAAGCTCTGGTTCTTTAGATAGAACATGTTAAATATAATATATTGAAATTTTGCGTCTTGTCATGAACATATTCCTCATAAATAGTGTGTAAGCTTACCAGATTAAAAAGGATTCAAGGTGATGTTAGTAGAAAAGAATGATAATGATAGAAACCAAAGCTGAAAAATCTGTTAAAAGTAAAAGGCAAGCTGTAAGAAACCGAACATGAAATTTGAACCTGAGCCCATCACACATTCAGGAAATGGCGTTTGAACCCAGCTGAAGATGACCTGAGAAATCGGGTTCCTTTGGGTTTGGCCAAAAACTTCTAAGTTCTGCTAACTACCTTTCTCAAATCTGTAGGAGGATGCTAAAACTATGAAGACCAAAATGCGTGAGAAAGTTCGACCAAAGATGGGCAAGATCGACATCGACTACCAGAAGCTCCATGATGCTTTCTTCAAGTGGCAGATCAAGCCAAAGCTCACTATCCATGGAGACCTGTACTATGAGGTATTTAACTGTTTCAGTGCTGCTGACTACCCTCTTTTCAGTTTTCACATGAAAAAGTAATGCAAAGTATAATTCTCAAAGTATTTTTCTCTTTTACCTGCTTGAGATGAGACTTGTATAACTTATTTGCTCTGTCTGTACCTGTGCCTCTCAGGGTAAGGAGTTTGAGACACGGCTGAAGGAAAAGAAGCCTGGTGATCTGTCTGATGAGCTGAGGATTGCTCTGGGCATGCCCACAGGCCCTGTAAGTAATTCGTCCTCTTCCTTCCTTTTCATTTTTGCCTCCTTCACCCTGAATTTGTTTACTCTCCTTATGCTGTGTCATTTCCACATTTGGCTGATATTTAAAACAGCCTTAACAAAAATTTTATCCAGCAGATGGTGCTGTAGATCAGAAAGATTAAAATCAATGTCCTGTTTAAATGGTTCCATATATTTTTCATAATCTCTTCATAATCTCAAAGTGGTATAAAATGGTGCATTCTAGAGAAACTTACTGACTGATTTCTCTGCAGTGTTGGCGATAGGAGCCAGGGATTGGGATGTCAACAATTTAGATATAGCCAGTGTGGGTTTTGTAAATGTTTTATTTATTTATTTATTTATTTTCTTGAGATGAGGCCAAACCTACTAACATAAAACAATGTCTCATGGATGAGGCACCAAATCTGTAACCATTTCACATAATAAGTTAGCTTTCAGAAGTGTTAAGACATCTAGTTCCTGTTAATACCATTGTGAACAATTCTGATTCTGCAAGTTTCTCTAGACCGGAGCAGTTCACATCCAACCACTCTGAATGACATTGTTTTTTGTTAACAATTTAACTACGTGAAATTTTTGAAAATCGTTGGGTTACCTTATAAAGTGGGTCAAAAGGCTGTTTTTATTTGTATGAATAAATGAGCATGTGTGGAGAAATAGCATTGCTATATAAATGTGAGGTTTCAGCAACACATTTTGCACCGTATTGTTTCCTCTGATGGACGAAAACCCTGATGGGCAGTTTCTCTACGCTTGTGTTGTGAAGTACCGTAACAGTGTTTTTCTGTGTCTGTCTTTCCTTCTCTCTGCAGAATTCTCATAAAGTTCCCCCTCCGTGGCTCATTGCCATGCAGAGATACGGCCCTCCTCCCTCCTACCCTAACCTCAAAATCCCTGGTCTTAACGCCCCCATTCCTGAGGTTAGTGTGGAATAACTGGAAACCAAACACCACCAACACATACTTTTCGTTTTGCCACTAGCACATTCTTTTAATCTGTTACACCTAGAAAGTGGTTGATGTTATTTTCTGGCTTGTTGAAGTTTGTGCAGGCCCTGTGTTTTTCTCTACAGAATAAACGTATGTTTGAGTAGAGTACATTTGGTCAGTAAACTTGTAATTTAAAGCTGAAAAAATTACAGCTTGTAACTGCAGTGATTTGTGAGCTGTGGTGATTAAAGCTTTTATGTTGAAGAGCGAATTTTAACTTGTGCTTTGGCTGTAGAGTAGTTAAATATCTTTCTCTCACACATACACTTCCAGAACTGTTCATTTGGGTATCATGCTGGAGGTTGGGGTAAACCCCCAGTTGATGAGACTGGAAAACCTCTATATGGAGATGTGTTCGGAACCAACGCTGTGGACTTCCAGGTGAGCAAGACACCCACAAATGCATGGTTTCTTTTTTTTCATTGACTTAAACCAGAGTAGTCCACCTGTCCTTTAAATAGCATACTTGTCCTTCCATTATGCAAATGTGCACACACACTTTCTGTGTATTGAACAGGGTTTTTGTAGTTAAATGAAACCCAAAACGTTTTAAGGCCAGCAGGAAAACATAGCTATTTCTGCTATTTAGTCTGTTCTTCTGTTAATAATGTAATTTACCAGTGCAGTTGTTGCATTTGACATCTGACTTTTGACAAATGTTGCAAACTACCTTTGAAACAAGGAAACACATGAACAGGCATATACTTCACACATCAGTCACATTTCCTCAGTATTTTGAGGATGCAAATCAGTAATAAGCATTTACTGCTGTATTACTGCGCTTTATACTATATGTATTACTACACTTTATACAGCGATGGAAAACACAGTAGCGCACAAAGTGGCAGTCTTACTATAGTCATCGTGGACGTGCATCGTAGCTCCTTTGGAGTTTTGACATGAAAACACTTCCCTAATCCAAGATAAAAAATATTAGTTGGACTGTAAATTGAAAATGGAAGTTAGTAGCAATAAGGCTGAGGGTGAGAACTATTAGTTTTAGCTCTTAATCAGTATTATGCTATATTAGTTTAGTGTTAATGCTCTTGAAGTCACATTTCCTGGTTGTGCTGAGAAAACATGCTGATAGATCTTTGTCTTGTGTATTTCTATGTACAAGACTAGGCAATGATTATGAGTAATGATACAGAAATACAGTAAAATCCCAGCACTGGTGTAGAAGTGAGTGGTCAGTCAGATTCCTGCAGGACTATGGATATGTGTTCTGAGTCAGTGAGTGTTTGAACAGGCCAAAGCTGAGGAGGAGGAGGTGGACCGCACCCCATGGGGCGAGCTCGAACCGTCTGATGAGGAATCCTCGGAGGAAGAAGAGGAGGAAGAGAGTGACGAGGACAAACCAGACGAAACCGGTTTCTTCACACCTGCTGACAGGTACACTAATGCCTTTTAGAGTGTGTTTACACTTACAGGAACACTGGTGTGATTGCTCTGAAATTGTGGCCTATTAAAAGAGGTTAGAATGCTGCCATTTGAACCCTGACGTTCACCAAACGATGTGTCTGTCCCAGTCCCATCCAAACAAGCTCTCATGTGGTTCACCTGAATTATAAATGCAAAATGGACCAAAGACATTCATGTCAACCAAACACAAAATGGACTGTTGTCTCCTATCTGCATTCCTTCTTTGGTACATGCTGCAGATGAATTTCTGCTATGGAAGCATTTATCATGTCTTTATAAACTCTGAAGCATTATGGAACAGAGTCTCACTTGTCAAATGATGCTGAGACATATTTTGACGACATTCTAAAATACTCAATAAGCATCCATCACCGCACACATCAAATATATTAAATATTAAAGTGGAAAGTTTTCACCAGTTTATTAATGCAGCAAGCCACTCGAGGCTGTACTAGTTACTTTACTTTGCCACTTATTGTGGGAAAATGTACAGTCTCTTGTTGCTTTTTAATATCACAAGATGTGTAAAACCCATGAGCTCAGTTAGACAAGCTCACAGCGGAGTTTAGAGGGTTCATTATGGATATTGTACCAGAACTAAAATGCAATGATCATTTTCTGCTTTGGTAGGGAACCAGATTATATATGTAAACCCCTTAGACACACATTAGTGACTCTCAAGTAGCTGATTGTACACTGCACTGTTTCAGATTATTCTACATTAAGGAAATTAGTGTTCTTTTGAGATAGCTCTACAATTGTGAAAACTGATCTGATTTATTTATTTATTTTTGTTTTTTCCTCCACTCTCAGTGGGTTAATCACTCCTGGTGGGTTCTCCTCTGTTCCTGCTGGTATGGAGACTCCAGAGCTGATTGAACTCAGGAAGAAGAAGATTGAAGAGGCCATGGACGGGTGAGTGTGTGAAAGTGTGAGAGTGTGACTTTCTGTGAGAAGAGTAAATATTAGCTCCAGAGATAAATATCATATTTGCTCCTGAAATGTTTTATAGGGCCTATGTATTAGGGATGCAAATTGACAATAAAAAAACAAAAAAAAAACAATGATCAGTTATTAACCAGCAAGCCTAAAATCAAGGCTTCCACACGTCAAAATATTACACAGATAGTTCTGGTTCTAAAGTCTGATTGAAGCCAGCTTTGGCCCAGAGTACCTCAGTAGCTCTCAAAAGCCGCCTCCATCCACCACGTCTTTCTCTATAGTTATGCTCACCCATGCATGTTTTCCTCATGCCACCATGCATCACACTTTCTCTCTGAAAAAATGGACCAAACAGTTGTCCATCTCATTGCTTGTGGATGTTTGCTTTTGATGTAGTATGTCATTGTGCTGTCGTCCTCTTGGAAAGTGTCCCTGAACACAACTATTTTTAGCTGCACACTTCATTTTTTAGTAGACTTATCTAGGGGAACCAGTTGCCTGGTTTGCCCTCATGTACAATCCAAAAAACGTTTCTCAGCTTGAAAGATAAACCCACCTATTCAAATGGGAACTGTTGTTTATAGAGAATAAAATTATCAAGTTTTTATTTATGGACAATTGTTTTAGTTAATTGCATTTACGTGCCTGATATTCATGTGTGTGTGTGTGTGTGTGCGCGCGTGTGTGCGCGTGCGTGTGTGTGTGCGTGTGTGTGCGCCTGTGTGCGCATTTTACCTTAAATATTTCTTTGCATTTTATTTGTTGTAATCACTGTTTGTTCTTGTGATCAGGAATGAGACTCCTCAGCTGTACACGGTGTTGCCTGAGAGGCGAACGGGCCCAGTGGGAGCAGCCATGATGGCATCCACACACATCTATGACATGTCTGCGGTGAGTGAGATGAAAAAAGAAAAGAAAGGAAATTTAATTCCTCGTATCGAAAGAGTGTGACAGTGTTTGGTGTGTTTACAGTGCTGTGGAGCAGGTTTTATAAAGGACACGGGATTAAAAAGCCCATATCATGGAACACCGAATTTTCCTGAATTTTTTGCCTTTAAACAGTGCAGGACCGATTTAACAGAAGCACATGGGAAGTGGCAGAGCTGAATGAAGCAGAGAGCATTGGTTCTGTTGTGGTGTATGATTATGTCCCTAAATACTGCTGGCTTTGGTAAATCATGGCTTTAGTCCTCCGAAGGGAGGAATGAGTCTGTCTCTTTTATCCGTGGGGTTATCTTGCCTCCTGTAGTTTGTCTTGTTCATCTGTGAGCCTAGAACTCCATTAGATTCAAATCAGACACCAGTCTTCCAGATGGGTCCCATTTGCATTTTAAATGACAGGAAAGATTAATGAACACAACAGTGTGTCATAGTGTGCATACCAATAGACTTGCTTTTAAGCTCTTTCTATTGCTTTTTTTTTTGCTATGTAGGCAGCAGTTGCTGGCCGTAAGGCTGCTGGGGTGTCAGGTTTGGGTGGTGACTCTCAGGGTGTAGAGGTCGCGCTGGCGCCGGAGGAGTTGGAGTTGGACCCCATGGCCATGACGCAGAAGTACGAGGAGCATGTGCGCGAGCAGCAGGCCCAGGTGGAGAAGGAGGACTTCAGCGACATGGTGGCTGAACATGCAGCCAAACAGAAGGTACTACTGCAGCCTCCTGTTCATCATAATAGTAATAAAGACTAAACTGTGTTTACAGATCACCTTTCATGCAAGTAGCATGACGTAAATGTTAAAAATAAAGAAACATAAAATTTGAGAAGTAAAAAAAAGAAAAAAAATGGCTTAAACACACAGTTCTGTAAATGGTCATGTGCGCATACCACAGTTTCAAAAGCAATTATGTGCTTTTGATTTTTTATTTTTATTTTATTTATTTTTTTAATGAAACAGCATTTTGGATTAGTAGGTTTTTCCCACTCCACACAAATAAAGCTCCAGGTGTTTTGTTGGTTTAAAAAGAAATCCGAGCAGGTGTGGTTAGAACAGCTATAAAGCAGTTCTAAACCAAACTCAATACAATGAGTAATTGAAACTGGAAAATTAAAACATGTTTGAAAAATTTAACACTCAGATAACCTTAATGAAATACGCTCTTCACAAATGTACTTTTACTCTTCACAAAAAGGCTTTACATAAGCTGTCAGTATGACGTTGCCCTCCACTTGCATGTAGTGGAGGGTTCTAAATGGTGGACACATACTTTTGTTTTTATTCACCACTCTCTTTGTGTGTGTCTGACAGCAAAAGAAGAGGAAGGGTCAGCCCCAGGACACTCGCGCTGGAGCCAAGAAATACAAAGAATTCAAGTTTTAAAGAGGAGAGAACCACCTTTGAGACCACCGTATTTGTACTTTGTTTTTCTTTTTTAAATGAGTTCTGTAGAAACAAAGCCGTGTATGTGTAAGATGACGAGAAGCAGTTTTTCATTTTTCAGTGTCTTTTGTAAATAAAATAATCCATGCCGTTTTATTTGAGTAATTGACTCTTGGACATGACACTGAGACCTTCAGTGCTGGTTATCGGTCATTCCTGTTTATCACCGTCATATTAAAATCTCGTTGCTCCAGGATGACCAAAAGACATATTTGAACAACACTTCTTATATCAAAATCTCCTTACACTACTGGTATTAAAGTTCACAGGGTATTTTTGCTTCTATAATAAATTTCCATTTTTGGAGTTTAACAGCAGTGACATGCTGTCCAGAGATATTTAGACACCCCTTTTATTTAGTGAAATCAGCAGCTTTGAGGTCTCCATGCCCAGCGCCAAGCGTCAGCTAAAAGAGTAGAAAGCCTCTCCTCTAGGCAGAGGAACTGTGTTCTCTAGAGTGAGGAAGCTTCATCCAGTACCTTTTGGGATGAGCTGGAGTAGCGTTCCTGATCTGGAGCTAATCATCCAACATCAGTGCTTGACTTCACTAGTGCTTGTGGCTGAACGCAATCAGATCCTCACAGCAATGTTCCAAGATCTAGTGTAAAGCCTTCCCAGATGAGTAGAGGCTGTTACTGCAGTGAAAAATTGAATGTGCAGGTCTACAAACTTCTGGACATACAGTTTATATGTTTGCAGATCCTGAACTTCCTGTCACACATTATGTAAAACCGATTTTTTTCCCCACTCATAACCCACCCACACTGTTGTAGATAACCTCATATACATTTGGCTTAGTGGGAAGTGATTTTCCCTTACGGTTTGGAGCTCTGGCCCATTGACCCAGTCTAAGGCTGCAGTGATGCTCTGTCCAGCAGGGGGAGTTAGGGCTTTCTGGAAATGTGACAATCACCTGACGTCTGGGATTCAGCTTGACCTACTTAACTGCTTTCACCAGGACTGACTCGGTCACCAGAACGCACACACACACACACACACACACTCTCTCTCTCACACTTAAGCACACATTTTGTTCCACACACACACTCGCTCTCTCTTAACCTCCGGCCCTTTACGCATACACACGCTGTCAGAATGTCCCCTGGCTCCTGCCTGGAAAAGCTCCATCTCAGAGCCCTCAGTAGTGGAGCAGTTGCTCAGCTGTAGTTTGTTCCTCTTTGATCCGACTAAGTGGCAGCAGCCATTTTTAGATGCAGCTACTGGATTGGGCCTTTTCTTCCCTTTTTTTGCTCGCTGTATAGACTTCTCGCAGTGACTCCAGTAGGTTGACTAAAAAAGGAAATGATGCTTCATCCACTGACCGTAAATGCACATGTGCAAAATCATCCCTTTGGTCTTTTGACCCAGTCTTTTTTTTTTAGTCATCATTTTTAACCCACAGACAAGCCTGCAGGTTTGTTTTTGGAGGAATGCATTGTGTAATAATCAGTTAGTTGTCGGTAATCGGTGATGTAATGATGGTTAATTTGGAATCAAATCCTTGGGGAATCTGCCCCATGAATGACTTCATCCACTAATTGTTCTGTGTCATTCTGATGAAACAGCCTCAAAACGTCCATAAATATTTGTGTGCATCATGCAGATCAATATTTATATAATTGATTAGATTGACTGGAGCTCTCTATGGTACAGCAAAAAAATGACATTCAGTTTTTTATCAATTACCTTAAATTTAATCTCAAATGTTTCTCCTCACATTTATTTAATTAGCTTTTTATTTAGACAGAAAAGAGTATTAGTTTTAACTGTTGAGTCCCTTGACAATAATGTAACTATAAGGAAATAAGCTAAAATTAACAAAATTTTATGCGACAGATGTAGAAAGACACTTCAGTGAGCGCCAGTGTGTTGCAGTAATGGGATAAAATTGCAAAATACTATATGTTGCTGAATATATTTGTGGTTTAATTCTTACCATTGAAATATTTTGTCTGACAACAATATGCACATTGTAAAAAAAAAGGGGGGGGGGCATTATTTGCACTTTCATGCTCAAATCTTACTGAGTTACACTTGGTCACTTCATTTGGAAACTCAAAATTCAATTTAAAATCAGTTAACTCAGAATTATTCAGAATTACTTTTAATTATTTAATCACGCATCACTTCATCAAAAAAGAGTAAACCTTTAGTTTTGTACTCTGCTCTATACTCAACTTTGCTCATTACACTTCAAGCTCAGGTGCAGGCAATTAAACTATGATATCCTGATGGAGACAAATTCGGAAAGCTCGCTCTCTCTCTTCCTGTCTTTCTCTTTTGGATTCCCAGCTGTGTTGGGAGTTAGTCATTAGCGTTAGTCTCTCTGCTCTCTCTCTCTGTCCCTGTGGGGTGCTGAGTTTATCAGGCTGGTAAATACGGCAGCACTCTCGTTATGAGTCTCCAGACAGGCTGCACAGGAGCATCACGCTGGCTTTCCGCTGCCTTGTAAAAGATTTCTGTAACAAGGGTAAATTGAAAGGGATCTAGTCCATTGAGAGGAGCCTGTTTCTGTCCACTCACACTGTCCAGCCCTTACCACATACCTATACTACACAGAAACAGTCACAGAGTCTCGGCCAGACGCTAGAATAATTGCACTTTAAAAGGGGCATTAAAGGGGTAATTCCATGACGATACAGTTTGTCTTTACCCCAACGTAGTTGAACAACCAAGACATTTTGGTTTCTGACATTCGCTTGTTCAGTTTTGCACTGGAATTATGAGGCTGATGTAGCTAATCACTGCTGTTGGATCGAAACCTCGTATCTCCAAAATAGTAACTTTACAGGAGAAAGAAAAAGCATACTTTACTTTTAATGTAAGTCAATGGAACCAGACATTTTTTCCATGTCATTTAGACCATTTCTTTTGGTAATTTTGGAAATTTGCACACAATATAAAGGACAAAAGGCACTTTAAAATTATGTCAAAAACTGAAAGGTGACAAAAATGGAGATACAAGGTTTCATTCTGACAGCAGCGTAATGGAAGTAATGCAAGTATACTGTTATCTCTAAAATTAGACAAATAAATGGATACAATTCACTTCACCAGCCACTGCATGCTATTACTATCATCTATGGCTTCAAGTAGGACTTAATTCAGTGAAAGTCAGAGTAGTAGTGGTTAATGTTTGTGTAGATTTCCTTTATAAAGGTGCTTATTACAGCATTAGAATTTGTTCCTGGTAAAAGCCAGGGCCTTTGATAACGACTTTTCAGTCAAACAGTGAGCTGCTCACCTTTATTGCTGTAATAAGCTTTATGTGTGAGTTGGATTGACTGAATAAACATCTCCTCATTCCTTGTGTAAACTCAGTGGAGTGATGCCTACCAGAACAAACACACTGCATTCTCCTTCTCTCTCTCTTTCCCTCTGTCTCTGTCTGCTGACGAACACCATGCATGGAAAATAGCTGGATGGCGCATAAACACTCAGAAGGGACGCTGTACCCTCTCAGACTTTTGGCCATGAGGGAAGATGCTGATTTCCCTGCTGGAGTGACTTTTTTTCTTCCTCTTCAAACACAAAGCTTCATCAGTTCCCTCAGCAGCCCGACACTTCTCGTCCCTGTAGGCCTGCTCTGCTGCTTAATCCAATACAGAAACAGCCACTAATAGGAGGGCATGAATAAATCAGCCATAAATACACTGTAAAACAGGGCTGGCGGAGAGCCACCGCACTTTAGTGCTCCCCTGCATTTCACACCTATGCGCCAACTAATCACACCCTACAGGAGTTGAATAAGGTGTGCTTGTGCTGGAACAGGAAAAAAGGTTTATGGCCCAGAGGTGAACAGCACATCAGGCAAATAAGTGATCACATTTAGCCAGGCAAGAATAAATAAATAAATAGTAATATTGAATATTTAATAATCAGATATTGAATAATAATATCAGTCATAATAAAATCATACATACACACATTTTCTAACCCGCTTATCCTTCTGAGTCGCGGGGGGAGCTGGAGCCTATCCCAGTGGTCATTGGGTGGAAGGCAGGATATAATAAAATAATAATAATAATAATAATAACAATAATAATTATTGATCTCTCTCTCTCTCTCTCTCTCTCTCTATATATATATATATGTGTATGTATAATTATTATTGTTATTGTTGTTATAATTATTGCTGATCTTATTATATCCTGCCTAAAATAATAACAATAATAATAATAATAGTGATTACTATTATTATATAACAATAATAATAATATTATTAATAATAATCGTTATTTTTTATGTTGTTTGTTGTTTATTTATCTGATTTTTTCTTATTATTGTGAATAATATATTATTAATTTTACCACCACCACCACCACCAACAACAACAACAATAATATGTTTTATATTTATTTTTATTGTATAAAGCCTTTTCTCACACTCAAGTTTGCTTTAATTGGAAGAAAAATTAGACACCATAAATAAGTCTTTATATTTCCTATCTATTCTGCTCACAGACATAAACTAATAGTTAATTAGGTGGCTCAGGTTTATAACGGGTTTATTATATGACATTGTTGACCCTTCTAATCTTCTGTGTGTGTGTGTGTGAGAGAGAGAGAGAGAGAGAGAGAGTAGATGTAGTGGACATGTCATATCTGAGCCTGTGTAGCAACCATAATTTAATCCTCATGATTCTAATCTCATAATCTCTGTCAGGAGCTGTGGACTGAGACATCTCACACGAGCAGGACAGCCAAAGGCAATCTCACTGTGGCCAAGCTGGTGTCTAAACCCTGTCTGGCTTCACAAAAATGAAGAGAAAAGGGTCATTGAAAGGGGTCATGTAATGGAAAAACGAAAGGTTGATGTGTTTTCTTAACATCTGAAAAGTGTGCCTTTCACTCCTCAGTGCATACAGAACATGGACATGTTACTTGTGCACATTCAGCTGCTTTAGCTCACTCACACTGAAGTAGTAAAGAGTGTTGTTACTACAGACCCCCAGAAATTAACAGTTTTTATCATACGTTTCAGCTCAGACTCCTTTTTGAATGGGGCACAGGGCCTGCTCTAGCCTTTTAGGGGCATTTACATTTACAGCATTTGGCAGAAGCTCTTACTAAGAAGTGACTAACAATTTGATCATTTTTACACAGATAGGCAAAGGTAGTGTTAGGAGTCTTGCCCAAGGACTCTTATTGGTATAGTGTAGGGTGCTTACCCAGGCGGGATCGAGCCCCAGTCTACAGCGTAGAAGGCAGAGCTGTTACCCACTACACTATACCAACCACCACCCCATCTTTCTAGCTGATGTACTGTTAGAGGCTATTAAAGGATAATAATGACTGTCTCAGTCTGTCCATATTGTATGAATTTATAACTGGCTAATTTGGGTATTGATGATGATCGGATGCCCATTTTGCTTGTTATAATAAGTTACATTTTAAATTACAAATACATTTCTCAGGCTTCTCGATCCAGGGGTCTTTCTCACAATGCAGTATTTCTTGTAGCTCTTGTAGTTCAGTCTAACCCTGGTGGCAGTGGCAACAGCATTGCTTTTTTACACTGTAAAGAATTGATGTAAAGCCTAAATTCTGTATATGATCTGGAAATTAATTAACCAGTGGCTTTTTGCCTCTCACTCGAGCATCTTAAATCCTATTGGAGCTGGATTAGCTTTACTGTAATATGAGTGATTACCAACGTGATCTGTGACTTTAATCCTGTGTGAATCTGCATTGTCTGTAGTTTTTACATATTACAGAGCTCCATCAGTAATAGCAGTGCTGTTCAAATCAGCATCACTATAATGTAATATTATTCTAATAGTAGATATCGGCATCTCTGTTTTTTGGTGACCAGCAGATGAGCCCAACCTCTAAAATGCAGCTCAACTTGACCTGGTTACTTTATCTTCAGATACAAAACCGGTCGACTGTCATCTACAACATTTTTTGCTGATGGCCTAATCAGAAAAAGAAGGAAAATGAAATATTTGAAGGTAATTTTTAAGTTGGAGGAGTCCACTTTACTAGCCCAATGCTGTTCTGTCTGATATCAACTGGAAGTTTGTTTTGTTTGGATCTGTTTATCTGTTTCAATCTTAAGGCTGACGGGAATGTCCGGGCTATGATGTTGTGATCCGGGGTATCTGAGGTAATTTATACAGATACTTTACGAATCAGCTAGTTGAATCGCTTACAAACCTCCTCTGGTACAACTAATCCAGCTCAAATAACATTATGGTACAGTAATAACCCAGAAGTTGTTAGGGGGCGGCTGCAGGGCCTTAAGCAGCTGTTTATGTCTCTTATTATATACCATACCGGCACTGACAAGGTCAAGAATGGTTGGAAATTGTAATATAAATATGACTTAAAACTGTCATGCAGTACAAGAAAAATAAAGAATATGGGCTCTTTAACGTATCTGTGTCAAACTATATTCAAACTCGGAATGTACTGCTAATTAGTATGAGAAAGATTAATCTGTGATATGATTTTCCCCACGGTTTGTTGGAATTAGTCAATGCCAGCTCCCACTGTTATTAATGAAAGGTGGCACAAGCCTCCTCTGATGTGTATCACCCATCTGCATGAAGCCTCAAAGCTTTGAATGAATTACAGAAAACACTGTTCTCTTCAATCATAGGAATACTATAGCCTTTTTCAATTGAACCTGTATCTGCCTCATCTGTGGCATACATTATATATTATTGTGCAAAGTCAAATTACATGCTTGTTGATTTTCTGATCATAAATAACTTATTTATGGCATTTTTCTGCAACTTTATTTGCTGAGTTTAAAATACAGGGAAAAAAAAATAAAACAAAAACTTTTTCACAGCTAAGACTGTATGTCCAAAAGCCTGTAGGCACCACCTCAGCCAACGTTTTGTATTAAGCTTATCTGAGAGTGTGATCGAATGAGCCTGAAGACCAGTCAGGCAAATACAAAAGGACAGGAAATGACATCACTATGAGCTCGTTAACCTGGATGATTTGTGACCTTTATCTGTTTTTCTTTCTCGTATTCACTAATCACCTCAGTGTTCACCATTACATGTGAAGTTAAATAGAACTGCTTCGTCTCGTTTACATTCCAGCAATCAGCACTGATTTTCCACAGCAACCGTGAGTCCTACACTGGAATGATGACAATCTAAGAACAAATTCAGGTGGAATGATGTTTCACAGGTGAGTCAGTGTGTAAAGTCTGACACACACAAACAAACACACACAAACACACACACACACACAACTGCTATAGGACAAAGTTGTTGCAGGATAGCAAGTACAATAAAATTAAGTAAAATAATAATAAATAAAATCTATATTTGGGCAAATCAATCTCACAACAATATAGGTTATATGTAAAACATCTATTGATTTATTTCTGTATATCCATATCCAACCATACCAATTTTGGATATAATGATTTTTTTTTAAAATAATAACAGCTGACATGTTATAAAAAACACATTTTTATTTCTCTAAAGGTGGTGAACATGGTATAGCAGTGCACTGATTTATGTAAAGCCCACTCCCAACAATGAATATCATGAAAAAAAGACAAAAGTAGAAAGTAAATGGAAATCTAAACCACTCTACCCCAAACACAGTTCCTTCTCAATGTATACATATGTATACAGTAGGTATCACTCTCTCTTTCTATGTCAATGAACACATATATACTATATGTATGCACATATAATCTTTTATTTTCTCTCCTTCTCTCTTTTTCTTTCTCTTTCCTTTTCTCTCTTTCTTCTTCTCTCTTTTGCTCTCTCCTTTTGCTCTTAATCTCTCTCCCATTCTCTCTTTTGCTTTCCTTTTCTTTTTTTCTCTCTTTTGCGCTCACTGTCTCTCTCCTTTTGCTCTTTATCTCTCTCCCTTTATCTGTCTTTCTCTCTCCTTTTCTTTCTTTTTCTCTTTTGTTCTCTCCTTTTCTATTTTCTCTCGCTCTCCCTTTCTGTCTCTCTCTCTCTCCTTTTCTCTCTTTTTGCTCTCTCTCTCCTTTTCTCTCTTTTTCTCTCTCTCTCACTCCTCTTCTTTTCTCTCTTTTGCTTGATCTTCCTTTCGGTCTCTTTCGCTCGCTATTCCTTTCGGTCTCTCTTTCTCACTCACTCTCTGTCTGTCTCTCTCTCTCACTTTCTCTTTTTGTCGTGCTCTCTCTCTCCTTCACTCTTTTTCTGTCTGTCTCTCTCTCTCTCTTACTCTCACAGTCCCTTTCTGTGTCGCTCTCTCTCTCTCTCTTACTCTCACTCTCCTTTTCTGTCTTTCTCTCACTCTCTCTTTTTGTCGTGCTCTCTCTCACTCTCTCTCCCTCCCCTTCACTTTTTCTCTCTCTCTTAGTCTTACTCTCTCCTTCTGTGTCTCTCACTATCCCTTTTTGTCGCTCTCTCTCTCTCACTCTCCCTTTCTGTCTCTCACTCTCTCTCCCTCTCCTTCACTCTTTTTCTGTCTGTCTCTCTTTCTCTTACTCTCTCTCCCTTTCTGTGTCGCTCTCTCTCTCTTACTCTCACTCTCCTTTTCTGTCTCTCTCCCTCCCCTTCACTTTTTCTCTTTCTCTTAGTCTTACTCTCTCTTTCTGTGTCTCTCACTCTCCCTTTTTGTCGCTCTCTCTCTTACTCTCTCCCTCTCCTTCACTCTTTTTCTGTCTGTCTCTCTTTCTCTTACTCTCTCTCCCTTTGTGTCACTCTTTCTCTTACCCTCCCTCTCCTTTTCTGTCTCTCTCTCTCTATCTCCCTCTCCTTCTCTCTTTTTCTGTCTGTCTCTCCCTCTCCTTCACTCTTTTTTTGTCTGTCTCTCTCTCTTACTCTAACACTCCCTTCCTGTGACTCTCTCACTCTCCCTTTCTCTCTCTCTTCCTCTTTCTCCCTTTCTGTGTCACTCTCTCTCTTACTCTCACTCCCTCTCCTTCTCTCTTTTTCTGTCTGTCTGTCTCTCTCTCTCTGTAAGCGCTCTGCTGCTGTTTCTCCTCGTCTCTGGTTTGTGTTAAATTTCCGCTTCCTCCTCCGGCTCCTCCTCCTCTCCCCCCCGGCCCTGCGGACTGTAAACACGGACAGGAGCGTTCAGTGGTCCGTTCACACCTCTGGACGGACGGATGCTTTTGCTCGCCCTGTAGGGGCTTTTCGGAGCTTTCGGAGCAGCGGAGCTTCAGGACAACTGCCCCTCTTACCCCACTCTCCCGCCTCACCCCCTTCCCCACCTTCGCCGTCCGTCTGTGTGCTTGAGAAGCTCCAGCATGTCTGAGCGCGGCGGGCTGCCTCGGGCTGGCGGAGCTCCGTCCCCTCAGCCCTCCAAAGCGGTCAACATCAGCTCCAGCCGGCCCGTCCACATGAACCTGTACGCCACCTGGGAGGTGGACCGGTCCTCCCCGAGCTGCGTGCCCAGGTAAGACGCCTTTTGGGCGGCTGGAGGAAGAGGGTGAACCCGCTGTTCTTCCTGCCGGATGCACAGCCGTCATGTGCCTGTTTCAGCCACACAGATCTACTACTCCGATAAAAACAACACGTTTACACGGGACATAACCTGTTTAACCAGGTCATTCATTTAAAAACAGGGTTAGATCTGCGTTTTTGTGGTACATCTGTCGCTACGGAGGCTGAACGCTGTATGTTTTCGCCACTAACGGCAGATTACGTGAACATTAACGTTACTTCTCCAAAACAAAGAGAGAAACTGGCGGTGAATAACGTTCGTCCACCAGTGTAACAACGTTGTTCACTAAGAAAAACTCAATTTGACGTGATTTCACATGGTTTCTGTGGGATTTTCCCCCGTCGGTTTGAACGCTGCGTGTTTGGGCTAGTTTGGCTAATGACATTAACGTTACACTTAACGTGACTCCAAAACAACACAAAGGCTGCGTCCAACACAACGTACCACTATAACTATACTTATTTACTAATAAAAGTGCCTCTAACAGTGATGTACTGTTTCTGCCACACTGTTTAGTATGACAGTATGCGGATTTAAGCGCAGCCGGAGAGAAAGAGTGCACAGTCCAGACAGACACAAAGCCTTCAGACGTGCTAGTCAGTAAAATGCGTAGCGTTACAGCTGGGGCTTTAGAGCGATTTAAACCAGCTAGTCACGTTTAATGAAAACACACAGCGGGCAGTTCAGCACAGATTGCCCTTTTCTGAAGGTTGGGTTGAGCTGATATGGTGTGAAAAGATGCACATGGTGTCAGAGGGGACTTCCACTGGTTTTCCAAAATCTGCATTGATGTAAACGAAGTCTCTGAGTGTTTTGGTGTGAAATGGTTCAATGTAACTGTTACAGTAACTCTGATTTCTTTACAGTGGTGCTGGTAGGAACCAGAGATGGTGGTGTATACAATGCAGATCTAGCCACTTTATTTATGACTGCTGACTTTGTGTGTGTGTGTGTGTGTGTGTGTGTGTATATATATATATGTATGTGTATATATATAATGTGTATATGTATGTGTGTATACGAGTGTGTGTGTGTGTGTGTGTGTGTGTGTGTGTATTAGTAAAATTGTGGTAAATCAAAAGAACAATGTTTTCTTCAGGCCCAAAGCTCTTCGTAAAACTATCATAAAACCGTGTTTCTGGCAGACCACTCGCTAACAGTTTTGTCTAATAACGTTATGCGAGGTCGGCTTTTGGTCCCTATCACTATCATTAGGAACATTTCACATCGGACCATGCTGAACAACTGTGTCACATCTCATGTAGAAATCCTGAAACATCATTGGTATAAACCCCTTAAGGGGCAAGGAGTGAGACCCTTTTGCTGTTTGGACATTTTTGCCCATTGAGTCGTTTCTCAGTGTTGTGTGGGGGCCTACAGGAGAAAACCGGTGAAGAATTGCCTGTTAAGAGCCCAAGCCATGAAACTGTGCTGTTGTGAAGGTTTCACGTCTTCCAGGTCACTGAATTGTATAATTATAGTAACTCAAAGTGACTGGACCTGAGGTGTAATACTGAAGCATTTTCTGCATGGTGTTGTTTTTGTAGGCTGAAGTTGTGATTTAATCCTGAGGACATCTTCTATCTGCTGTTGTTCTCTTGTTTGGCATGTACTGGGCTATTGGAGCTTTCGGGGGGATGCATTAGGCTGCATTAATACCTCTCACTTCAGTCCCATGTGTCGTTTTGAGGATTGGCATTAATAATGGATTTGAACTTGTTTTTATTTCACACTGACAGACACAGCAACCCTGTAACTCACCCCAGCTGCTTAACTAGAGCTTAATACGGCTTAATGAGAGATACACGACACCTGTGTGTGTGAAAAAGAGACGCAGGGAGGCGTGTGCGCATGGACGGAAAGTGACTGTCTGTTGACATTTGTTGACAAAGGTCTGGAGAGTCCGTTGAATGTTGAATCATTCAGTCACTGTTCCTTTGGTCTGTGTATGAGAAGCCTGTGGGAAAGAGCATGACATATTTCTGAACACACAAGAAAAGTGTGACTCATCAAGAACCCTTGCCATATCTCACAACACAACATTTCCTGACTAGTATTGGACGGTGCATAGGCTGACCATAATAGCCAATATGCTGTCCTCAGATTGCACTGATTTAACAATGGAAACATCATCCGAAATGACCTATCCATGCTCTGTCCAGAAATGTTTTTTCATAGCAGCTAGGCCTGTCACTGGCATATTATTTACCTGTTGCTTACCTGCCATGTCAATAAGTTTGAGTAACAAAATCCTTTTTCTTCCTTGCATGTACTATTAAACTGGCCAGCTTGGCTGATTGGCAAACAGGCAAAATGGCTAATGTTTAGTAGCTTCCAACTGATGCCAACAGCTCAAGCTTAAGTAAACAAACATTATTCACCACTGCGCTCTGAAAGTGTTAAAGAATCAAGTTAGAAGTTAGAACTTGTGTTGTTTTTTGTGAGGCCTGTGACACATCTCAGTAGGTGCGTCTTCTGCTTTACTTTATTTACGTGTTTGCCTCAACCCAACTGATGTAAGTGCACCCAATATAGAATTCAGATTCTGTTTGTTGGGACATAAACATACAGTTATGTGAAAAAATCAGTAAACCCCATGAAATGTTTTTGTTTTTGTTTTTTGACATCTGTGGGCACATCAGTATTGATCATCAGCTCAACAGTGTGTATAGATATATGTAATAGAGATGTGTTTTTTATTATTGGAAAAGTGTGTACACCCCTGGCTTCAATGCCCCTTTTGACAGATATCAACTATGTTGACATTTCCTATAACTGTCTACCAGTTTCTGTCATCTACTGGGAAAAATTTTTGATCACTACTTTGTGTAGAATTCTTTCAACTATGCAATGTTTGAGGGGTTTCTTTGCCTAAACAACAAGTTTCAAATCCATCCACAACATTTTAATGGGATTCAGATTTGGGCTTTGACTAGGCCATTTCATAACCCTCCATTTCTTTCTTTTGAGCCATTCCTTGGTGGATTTACTTGGATGTTTGGGATCTTTATCCTGTTGGAAGGTCCAGTTCTTCAGCTTGAAACCTTTGGCAGATGGCCTCACATTCTCCTCAAGCACTCTCTGGTATGAAGGAGAATTCATAGTTGACTCTGTGATTGCATGTTGGCCTGGTCCTGAGGCAGCAAAGCAGCCCCAAGCCATAACCTTTCCACCATCATGCTTTACAGAAATAAAAATCTCCTGATCAAATGCTGTCTTCACCAAACACGGTTTCTGGTACTGTAGCCAAATATCTCTATATTTGACTCGCCTGTCCAAATCTCCCATGTATGTCAAAATTATGCAGTCTCATTCTAATGGTAGATGCATGCACTTTGACATCCACTGTGGCAAGAGCTACTTGCAGATCCTGTGATGAAATTTTGGGCTTCCTAAAGACTTCTTTTAGCATCTTACAGTCTGTTCTTGGGTTCTTTGCTGGGGTGGCCTGGGCTGGACATGGAGTCAGTGGTTTTAAATCTTCTCTACTTATAGATGATGTTCGGGACAGTTGAAGGATTGATTTCCAATGTTTTGGAAACACTTCTCAAACCCTTTTCCAGACTTGTATGCATCTGCAGCCTTCTTTCTGAAGGCCTCAGAGAGCTCTTTTGATCTAAGCATGATGATACCCTAAACTCCCATAACAAAGAGCAAACCAGACCAGATATCTTCAGTGTAATAAAGACAAGTTCCTCCAAGATATTCTCTAATGATGTTCTGATCATTAGCACCTGATCATGTGCACCTGATTTCAGTTTGACACATTTGGAGACGTAACCTCCAATCTACCAAGTTTTGAGTAGCTATAGCACTCAGTCTTATGTATCAGCTCAAAACAAAGATCTCCACAATTTCTCATTATGTTGAATGGGATTTTGTCAATGTTCAATAAAGCTTGTCCACCATAGCCACAGTTGCTATGAAAGAATGAATTTGTGGGTGGAGCGTGGATAGGTTGGGGTGGACAATATGACAAAAATATCATATAACAATAGTTAGACGTTTTTGTGATACACAGCATCAGGATTTTTATGCAGTATGTTAGTAGTACCACATTAAAAAACTCCCACTCTGGATACAAGTTTTTTTTATTCAACTGTTTCATACTGCACTACATTAAATCCAGTTACACAGGCCTAAATATGCGCTCTTTTTAATGAAACGTAGTGCTCATTAATGTGTGATGCTCATTATAAAATCACAATAACAATACAATATCTGCAGATAGGTCAGCTGGAGCAGTGTCATTTGCTTTGAATAGGCAACACCACTGGAATATGCATCTGTGATTTGTATGAACAGAAGAGCACCTTTGGAAAATAAGAGTGCATCCGTTTCAATACGAGAATCATGTTTTACACATAAAATACCAAGAACTGAATTGAATCTTCACCTCTCAACCAAAAATCACATCGAACCAGAATATATATGCATTGTTACACCCCTATTGGATAATCATTGAGCTCCAAAGCTGTGTCTGATTCAAGTTGCAAATTTGATTCCCCAACAGACCGGCTATTCTCTGTTTGCCTGGCATTGATCGGTAAATGAGCAAATCCGTCTCTAGTTGATTGTTGCTGCTAGAATGTTTTGTTATCAGTGAGTAATGATGAGGAGTTATGTTGTGGCCTCTTTAAATGCTGTGTTATCAGTACAAACATGCCGGCCGGCTGGTGATTCTGTTCATTTGTATCTGTTCTCCTCTGCAGTCGGTGAAGGCTAGTTGTCTCCCTTCCTTTTGTTTGCACTGCGACCAATTTTGGCGCATGGCACGAGTCACGCTCCATTCCGCTCCGTTTGATTGAGAGAGAGAGAGAGAGAGAGAGAGAGAGAGAATGTAAGAATGAAGAGATTAGGTGATTAGAGAGAGAGAGAGAAAGAAAGGTAGACAAAAGGGACAGAGATCAAGACAATGGACGGAGGCACAGAAAGAGAGGAGAGATGAAATG